ACCGTGAAACTGAAACAAATCATTCGTTGGGCTTGAATAAGGTTAACTGTGGAATTCTAGTTCTTTTTATTAATGTTTATGAATGATGCAGCGATATGGCGCCGAAATGCGCCTGAGTCGATGAAACGACGATATCCCGTGTTTCACGAGCTTATAGTAGACTTTCCACTTTTCTATAACAATTGTTTTTATAGTGGATTTTTTTTTATCGGTGGTTTTGTATTTGGTGGTCATACTCTGATACTGCCACCTGTGTTTTTATGCTTTGCTTACATTGTTGTTTTCTTACATTTTTAAGATATCAATACAAATATATGAAACCGTTAAGAGTAGTGGAAGAGAATAACGTTGTAAAACAAACTGCCGTGTACATAGCTTAGTGAGGTTGTTTAAGGCTGAATGGGTCGCACGCTCCAATACGTTTGCAATGAATTACTAATGGGTAACCGCGAGATTTGTTATTTATCTAGCGTAGGCTGCCCAAGCGATAGTTTAAGTTGTTGAAAAATGTTAAAATTGAATACCTGGTCAAAATAACCTCTGTGTTCATTCACTATGCGAGTCAATTGACAAACGCTTCTTAACAGGAATACTGTGTGCATAGAGAAAAAAATGAATTTACCAATTAATTGATAACTTGTTTGAACTTCATACAAGATATTCCTAACCGCCGTGTATCCAGTAACGCAGGAATGTGCAAATAACGCAGGAATTGTGCAAAAGTAAAGCAGAATTGTGCAGTTTAGTGGCTAAAACGAGCACCGCCATAAGTTAATGGACCAATATTTTTTTATTGTACACCAAATTGGAAGAAATTAATTAGCGCATACGATTGTTGAGACATTATACTTTAAACCTCATCAAAAATATTCTCATAAAAATGTTTATTTTTCAAGATCATTCGTGAAATGACGACCTAACTAGGGTATTAATGGCTACTTTTTTGTTTCGTTGATATCTTAGAATACAATAACGTACATAATACTTTATCGGTGTATCTGAGACAGTTTCCAATCTACTCGTGTTATATTACACAAAACGTAATTGGGACCATTTTACGAGGTAACGCGAAACACTAAAGCAAGGGCGGTTATCTTATTAAAAATAGCTAACTCTTATTTTAGTTTCCTTCTATTGTGATATTTGACAAATGTTTTAGGTAGACAGAATATGAAAAACAATGTTTTAAATGTGTTAAATGTACATATTTATTTGGCGAAACACACAAATCACTTGATCTAAAAAAGTAAACATATACCTGAATGTTGTATAATGTCGTAGCAGCCGTATGCGCTGTAACACCGCAAAACGTCCGTACCGCAAAACGTACGTATATGGACGTTTTGCGGTGCATATCGTCCTCATTTTTCTGACGTACATTTTGCGGCATAAAGGCATGGTCCTGCCGCATAACGTCCGTATTTTAAAGTTTATATAATTTTCGTTAATTTTGACCAGTTATTATCAGGTGTCATTGTTTGTTAATTTTAGCTCACCTTAGTATGCGCCTGTCTGCCTGTCTTTCCAAATTTAGCTTGTTACCACTTTAGCATCTACATACCCTAAGCAATATGTCCAGAGTTATCTGTCCTTGAATTACAATATCTGTTATATTTCACATTGTTACCACTCCATTTCTTGTTCAATCTGGACAACTTTCAACAGAATATCTGTGACAATAAAATCTCAACAAAGTTAGATTATAGGCTAAATCTAACACAAAAAAATCTAACCAAAAAAAAAAACCCAACAAAAAACGCACTATATTTCACCTTGTTAGTGCTTTCGTTTTTCTTCTCCATTCTTAAAATTTTTTATACAGAATATGTATAACAATAAGGTCTCGATAAGTGCATTTATGACCTAAAACGACTGAATATGTCAAGAGTTATTTGCCTTTGAATAATAAAAATAAAAATAAAGACATATTTTAAAGTCAAATTATTGAATTGTGATAAACTGCCATTTCTTTGTTATCAATGATCAGATGTCATTCATACATTTATGACAGGCCGGACATCTTGAATAGTTCAACTATAATATTGACCTTGACCTCAAGGTCACTATTGAATTTTGCATAAATTACCATATCTTTGTCATTTACAGATATTTGGATATTGACGACCATTTCAGACGTATAACCATAAAAGTTTACATTATTGTGTTTAAATTGTGATTTCTGTAATATATTGACAGATCTTAATTAAACTCATACAAAAAAACAACTTTTTGACATGATATTTTAAATTATTCATTTGAAATGACCATGATGTTCAAGGCTTTTAATTAAATTTTGTGTTAATTGCCATAAATTTGTCAATAGTTGTCAGATTTGACTCATATTTGGATAAAACAACATTATTAACAATGGCAACACTTACATCTTTAAATAATTCAAGTATAATCTTGTCCTAAAATTGACCTTGATGGTCAAGGTCAGATATAAAATTTGATTAAGATCTTCCTTGTAAGTCGTGTTCCTACTTAAAACTTTTTGGAGACAATGACATGTTTTTAGATATAGATGGGTTGAAGGTAGGGAATCAGACAATATTTTATCAGTGGGGCACCAGTCCTCGTTTCTAACTGAATGTCAGGTGAGTGGTCTTGGGCTATCATGACCCTCTTGTTATTTTTGTTACAGTACTGTAATACAAATCCAATAAATAAGTTCATAGTTTTGATTGTGTTCATTTTTCAACAAATTCATATACAGTTGACACCCGTACCCGTAATGGAGCTTGTGGTGGTATGACATGACAGTGATACTGTTTGACTTGTTTTACTATGTAAGATTTCTCACAATTTCAAGGATCCACTTCATGCATCAAACGAAGAATTCTGTTTATTCTGTTGAGTTCTGTTAACACATTTATTCTTGAAAATGAATATATTTGATGAAACGTCTTACTCCCAGACAAATTTTGTTGTATAAAGAACTTAGATTATAAATTTATATATAGGACATGTATATACGATGGACAAAATATTGTGAGCGATCTGATGTTTCCTTATTTTATATAATCACATCACTGGTTGAAAAACTTTCTATCATCGGATTGATTGTATGATGCCTCACTTCATATGGAAAATTTGAAAATAAAGCTCTATATTTACCTAACATGTATCCTCTTAGTAAGTTTCAGAAGTGTCTGAATTTCCGAATTTGTCAGACCGTCCATGAATAATTGTCTGACCAAAAAGTCCTAGTCTTCAGCCTCTGCCATTTCTTACCGGTGAAGACGCGGCACGGTGTTACCGTAACAACGTTAGCATGTTTTTTCCCGCCATAATTTCGAAGGGCGAAATTTGGTAGTATTAAATTTCGCTAGTCTCTCATGCGATAATTAGCGCCCTTCAAAGCGATAACTATCGCGTGAGAAACACACAACATACGAAAATTAAGACGATAATCATCGAGGCGAAATTGTTAAATTTCGCTAGTATAAGTGTCTCTGGTCTTTTGAAAGAGCGATAATTATCGAGTTAGAGACTAGCGAAATTTAAGACATGCGAAATTTAGTACTAAATTTCGCCCTTTAGAGGCGATAATTATCGCGTGTTACTAAATATTGTGGACGAAATAGGATTCCGTACTAATATGCAGCATAATGCACTTTCAATGCAATTTTGTTACTATTTATTGTAAGATATGTAATAATAATTAATAAATTCTGAAAACGTTGATCAAACGATAGCAACGAGAACTTTGTAAACACAGAAAATTGCTGACTTTGTGTGACTGGGTTTTTTCATTATCAGGAATGAAAATCTCACTGCCTATGGATTATTCGCAGATGTTTCAAGTAAAGTACCTCCGCACTCTGCATATTCTGCGCATATAGTGTCAATACGTATACACAATAAGAAATATTTAAGATTGAATTTGGTTATACTCTGCGTTTACTTCTCGCATCTACTCGATATTAATAACCAATACTCGTTACACTAAAAAGCAATACTCGTGACACCGGCAAGCAACGCAATACTCGGTACACTAACATGCATTTATTCTCAAAATGCGCTGTCATCTGAGATTCTATTGTTGATTGTACATTTACAACATAAACATTATCATCGTAATCACATTTCACTCGATTGAACTTTATCTTATAATATATTCACAAAAACATTAAATTTGACTGATCCGAGCAAAGAGACTTTGACTGAGCAAAGAGACGAATTTTACCTCCTAATTACATTTCAAATATATTTCTCAACATTTTTGTGTTTTCAGTAACTAGAGCAATTATCGAAGTATCTGTTTTTCTATAAAATTTATATCAAACCAATTCAAAATGACTAAACGTCGTCACTGAATTTACCGTTGTCCCGTCCAAAGTCGCGAAATGGGATGAAAGTCCTCATATTATCGAGCAATATCCGGGGTACGGTATACCGCAGTGGGCATGCTACTTAAATATTATGATACATTTATTTCATTCCATGAAAATGTTTGAAGATATAAAATATCCTATGACATGTTTGTTTATTTTACATTTAATTTACACCTTTCACGCAGCAACACAGAAGTTAGTATGCAAGCGTACCTATATTACATACGAATGTATGTAATATTTTTCTTGTTATTTATTGTATTTCGTATATAATATGTGTATTTGCTATTTTTTATTGTAAAAGATATTGACTTGCATGTTATTGAGATAAGATCTTTTTTTCATCAACGTTGTTTGGCAAGTTTCGATCAATGCTTTTCATCAAGCGATTGCAACAGCTGGTTATATTAAAGCATTTATGAATCCATACTTTAAGGTTATTAGGTAATCCATCTGTAAACAAGAGCAACACACATGCAGAAATAAGTTACTGTAACTTCTTACATTAATAATATAATAACAGCAACATTTGTACAAGCATTTGCTATAAATAGCACACATATATATACATGTAAAGCTTTAATATAACCAGCTGTTGCAATCGCTTGATGAAAAGCATTGATCGAAACTTGCCAAACAACGTTGATGAAAAAAAAAGATCACTTGACATAAATGGTAAAACGACAACCACTGTTATGATACTCATATGGAATTACTATTTATAACAGAAAATAAAGTAATGGAGGGCATACACAGGAAGATAGTAACTGTCATGCTGATATTAGCATGGGTGTCGATGGTAAGTTGCTACACTATATCAACATTATAATTGAGCCGTGTCATGACAAAACCAACATAATGGGTTTGCGACCAGCATGGATCCAGACCAACCTGTGCCTCCGCGCAGTCTGATTAGGATCCATGCTGTTCGCTTACAAACCCTATTACAAGTAGAGAAACTGATAGTGAACAGCATGGATACTGATTAGACTGCGCGGATGTGCAGGCTGGTCTGGATCCATGCTGGTCGCAAACCCATTATGTTGCTTTTGTCGTGACGCGGCTCATATGTCTTATTTAAACCAAACGGATTAGATATACACATATATTTGTGTGCATATATATCTACAATTTTTTTCATCTGCACATTTGTTACTGTTTCGCACAGTTCTTACTGCAAACTTCACGATGGTTAGACAAAAAAAAATCGTCTGTGTAGGATTCGAACTTACGATCACTGTTATGTACAACAATTTAGACTTATGCCAAAGAAACAAATGTGTATTTATAATAAACGGTAATATGTACACTCATACGTTCGTAGTTAGTGGTTAAAAGTTTATGATTTTACTTGAATACCAAGGCAAGTGTGATCGTAGTGGCAAAGTGGTAACACTACAAATCCAGGGATAGCGAGTCCGATCTCGTCACTCTAACAACAGTCACTAACAAGTCTTTCGGAAGAGACTTCATGTCCCCAATGAAATGTTTCTTTACCCCTTGCACGTGAAGGAGCTAGTAAATTGTTCAATACAAAATCAAACAATTCTATCAAAAATATAGTACTGATACTAGAAACTAAGTAATAGTTTACTACAACATATTACTACATAGTTTATAGTATATCAGTTAATATATTTTTGATAGAATTGTTTGATTTCGTATTGACATGTATTTTGAATGTGTTGAAGTATATTTGGGTAGTATAGTGGGTCCTGGGGGGGGGGTACCTTTGGGGTAGGGCTTGGTCCCACACCGATAACCTGTGTAGACAAATACAACACATTTTCTTAATAATCCGACTTAATATGACTTAATCTACTCAGCTGACACTTAAATTGCTTGAGTGTTGGTACAAAAAAATCATATTCACTTGGTTATCTTAATCATAAAGATAAAGGGACGCATTTCTCGAAAAGAGAGTAGCGCATTGGGCCGAAAATTTATGTATCAACGATATCAGGCTGTCAGTTGTGCATAAAGCAAAAATTATTGACGTTTTTTGCGAGTTTCGATTATCTCGTCTAACCTTCACAATCCGGCTATATTTCTTTATACTGTCATCAGAATAGTTAGAACTTTTGTTAAATAGACAGATGGGCAAATTATATACATGTATTATTTGAGTTTATCCAGCTTAATGGAATTAAAACAATCATGATAATGTATGGCAGATTTCCTGTTAACTATACATACATGTATGTCTACAGGGATTCGTAACACGTTGTGATTACTGATATGTCGGGTATAATGTTGGGTATAGTGATATGTCGAAATAATATGACATTATGAGGTATATTATTCAGAATGATACATGTAGTAAATGCTATTGGACAAATACACATCTGTAAAACTTATATTGGACGAGGTGCAAGTCGAGGCTCATATAAAGGTATTGCAGCTGTGACACGTCTTGAACAATCAGTATTGTACCCGATATTGCATAAAGACATCTTTATTTCACACCACTAAATGATGTTTTGGAAAAAGAAACACGACCAGCCAGTATTAATCTTGAATGAGGCTAGCCAGTGTACAATAGTGAATTAATATAAATTTTATTTTTACCCTAAAAAAACGAAAACGAGGCAAGACTTAATACATTAATAAATGAATATGGATTTTTATAATGAAAACTTTATTTGGTTCAAATTCAATAATGACAATTGTATTTTTGGGGTGATTTATTTACCACCGGAGAGTTCTAAGTATAGTACATTAAGTCTTTTTGATGATTTAGAGAACGTTTTACTTGATTTCTCTGGGAAATATCATGATTGCACATTTTGCTTGTTGGGTGACTTCAATGCAAAAACTGGCAGACTGAGTGATTTTCAGGAAGTAGATAGTTACATTGCAAATTTGAACTTTGATCATGCTACCTATAATATTGCTGGTACGAATCAGCTTAATGAACTTGGCTTTACAAAAACATCACGCTTTACTTGTGATAATCATCGTCCTGACAACTTTGGTCGTAGGCTTTTGGAACTTTGTAAATTGGTAGGCTTATACCTGGCCAATGGAAAGGTGTGGTGCTGATGCTTACATAGGTAAAACCACAACTATATATGATAGTGTTATTGACTATGTTTTATTATCTGGTAGTTTATTTTCCAAGAATAACCTTCTTTGATGTTAAAAGAATTTGATCCTTTATTGTCTGATGTTCACTGTGTTTTAGAACTTGTGAGGTTCAGGCAGAGGATGATGATGAAAAACAAGGGTAATGATGGTTATCAATCTGATTGTGTAATCCACAAAGCATTGTGGACAATAAGGCCAGAGCAGATTTTATTAGTAAAATTTGATGACAATCTAGTATCAGATCTTATGAAAGAACTAGATGACTCTACTCAATTGAATGTTTTTGATCAGCGTAAAATAAATCATCTTACAGAAAAAGTTTCAGATGTGATTTTTTTCTGCAGCTCAAAACTGTAATTTGATCAAGAATAGTTATCCTTTAAAAGATAAAAAAAGTAAGGTTAAGAAGCCAGCATGTTCAGACAAGCCTTGGTTTGATCAGAGTTGTAGAAATGCTAGGAATGGTTATTTTTTTAGCAAAAAATAAGTATAGAGTAAACAGATCTTTATAAAATTTTGAAGATATGCAGAGGAGAAGCAAACATTATAAGACTGAAATTAACAAAACATTTAAAGAGTTTAATACCTGCATTGTAAACAAAATTAAAGGTCTTAAAAACAGTGATCCCAAATCTTACTGGAATCTTCTTAATAAGTACTCCAGTGAAAGAAAAACTGTGATAAATAAAATTTCATGCGAGGTCTTTTATGATCATTTTAAGGATCTAAATAATGTAGACTTTCATAATGAAGAAAATTTTAACGAGGTAGACATTGATGAGATAAGCAGCTATAATGAGGAATTAAATTTACCATTTACAGTTAATGAAATTCAGTCAGTTTTAAAGGCTTTAAAGAACAACAAATCTGCATCACCAATGGATAATATCTTAAATGAATATCTTAAGAATTTGCCCGGTTCAATGTTACCAGTTGTTTGCAAACTATTTAATATTATTTTTGATTCAGGTTTCTTCCCTGAAATTTGGAGTAAAGGGGTAATTCTTCCTTTATACAAGAATAAAGGTGATATTAATGATCCTGACAATTACAGGGAAATAACAATTTTGAGCTGTTTTGGTAAATTATTTACATCTGTTGTGAATAGTCGGTTGAATAAATTTTTAGAATCTGATAATATTCTTTGTGAAGAGCAAGCCGGGTTTAGTTTAGAAATACAGTACAGTTGATCATATTTTTTCACTTAAATGTTTAATAGATTTGTACTTGGCTAACAAAAGAAAACTATTTTGTGCTTTTATTGATTATAGAAAAGCCTTTGATTCTGTAAATAGACTTGCTTTATGGAACAAGTTATTAAGTTCAAATATAGATGGTAAATGTTTTAAGATAATACACAATATGTATGAAAATATTAAGTCCTGTGTTAGAGTCAGTGACCAATTTTCTGACTTTTTCTCAAGTCTGGCTGGCGTCCGACAAGGAGAAAATTTATCCCCAGTTTTATTTCTCTTTGTTTTTAAATGACTTGGACTCGTTCCTGTCTCAAAGATTTGAAGGTTTAAATTTCCTGTCTAACAGTGTTAGTAACACTTTAAGCACAGATGATTTTGAAGTTTATCTTAAATTGTTTATGTTGCTCTATGCTGACGATACAGTTATTTTAGCTGAAAGTCCTAATGAGTTACAAAAAGCATTAAATGCAATGTCTGATTACTGTAATACTTGGGTTTAAAGGTAAACACTGCCAAAACAAAAATTGTTGTGTTCTGTAAAAGTAAAAGGGGGTGGAATAATATTAATCCTCTAGAATTTGAGGGTAACATACTTGAGATTGTAGATTGTTTTGATTATCTTGGGGTTCAGTTTTCATTTAACGGAAAATTTTTAGGCACAAGAAAAAAAACTGATTGATCAAGCTCGAAAAGCTATGTTTTCTGTGTTTTAACAAAGTCTCGGAAACTTTCTTTACCATTTGATATACAATTGAGTTTATTTGATTGCAATGGTGGCTCCTATTATTTTATATGGATCCGAGGTCTGGGGAGTAGAAAATGTACAAATAATTGATCGTTTCCAATTGAAATTTATTAAATTAGTTTTTCGGACTGAAGCAATCTACCCCATCATGTATGATTTATGGCGAGCTAGGAATAATTTGCCTTTGTCTTTGCAAATTAAGTCAAGAGTTCTGAACTATTGGGGCAAACTGATTAATGATAAAAAAGATAAAATTTGTTCTATGCTGTATTGCATGTCAAAGAAACTTTACTCTGATTTTGATGTTGATTTTCCTTGGTTGATATTTGTGCATACTTCTTTAGATTCTCTCGGTCTGTCAAGTTATTGGATTTTTCAAACAGTTAGTTCTGTCCCACATTTTAAGAAAATTATTTCTGCTAGAATTAAGGATCAGTTTTATTCAAGATTGGCAATCTTCTATTCATGAATCCAGTAAATGTCTGAATTATAGAATTTTTAAAACTCAATTTGGTTTTGAAAAATACTTTAACATTTTACCATCAGATTTAGCAATAGCGTTTTTCAAATTTAGATGTATGAACCACTAAATGCCAATTGAAACAGGTAGATTTTTTAATTTGGATAGAAGTCTAAGAGTGTGCTGTTTATGTTCTGATAATTTGTTAGGTGATGAATTTCATTATTTATTTCACTGTTCCTATTTTCAACACCTGAGAAAGACATATTTAGACAATTCATTTTTTCATAGACCTAACATTATTAATTTTTCAAATTTAATGAATAGTGAAAGCAAAAATGTTTTATTCAATCTAGCAATATTCTGTAAGAAAATAATCTTTGTGCTTAATAATACATATTGATATATATATATATATATTTTTTTTTTTTTCATTTTGATCTCATTCTCCGATTCTAAATTGTTAAGTATAAATATGTTATATTTTTATTCTATTTTTTTTATTCTATTTTGTTCTCTTTTTTTTATGTACATAATTATGTTCATAACATTGCCATTTCAATTATGTATCACTTTACTTTGTTTTGTAAACATTTGTTATATTGTTGTTTTCTCACATGCCCAGTTGGGCCTTGAGATATCAATAAAAACTTGAAAACTTGAAACTTGAGCCAATGTAAAATGAAAACGAGGCTAAATTGGTAACATTGGATCCAATAATTATTCATATTAGAAGATCATGTGGACCAAACGCTAGAAATTAATTGGTAACATTTTATAAGGTATGAAATAAAATTATATCATACAATTGTGATGTTAGATTGATAACAACACACTGTGGAAGGCTTTTTCATTTATCAGATATTGGTAATAGAAATAAGAAATAAGTCAGCAAGTTGTTGCTACTTCGCTTTAAACGAACTTCGGATATAACGAACGATATTTTAATGTCCCATTGAGTTCGTTATAACCGGAGTCGACTGTACATGTAGTTTACATATTCTAGGGACTGTACGGGGAAATTGGTGGCCCGACAATGTTAGATCTTCGAATGTATTTTAATGCAAATGCTGAAGAGGTAGCACGCGCCGTATCTGCTAGTGGTATTGGCATGTTTCTCGGTGCTCTGATTGGTGGATTGTTCGTGGATATGCTTGGTACGTGGAAGATATTGCTGGTCACTGGCGTTCAGATGCTTTCTACAGTCACAATTGTGTCCATGTCATTTGTAGGGACAATTTCAGTTTTATGGTTCATGTTCTTTCTACTTGGAACAGCTGGTGGGGTCGTCAATGTAGGTAAGAAAACAATACGTGAAATATACAGATATATGTGGTACTTATGTACTTATGTAAATGAAAACATTTAGTAGTAAGAATAAATTACATTACATGAAAATCAATGACGGAGAGCTATGTTCATGGAATGCATTCCCTCAAATATCCAACGCCATGTTGCACACAACACTGGAACGGGACAAAAACGGGGAATGGATTTTTTGCAGGGCACTTTAGGTTTGACAGAATTTTGGGGCTAACTAACAAAATCAATGGTTTGGTTTGTGCTCGGCAGGATAGTTTATTAGGAAATTATTTTTCTCTCTTTGACTTGTTTGTTAAATGTTTGTATATCACCGGATGCTTCACTAGCGCTAGTGTTCGATGATTCATGTATCTGATTCTGTCTATTTACTTTTTTACAGCCGGGCAAAGGATAATTTTGGAAATGTGGAAGGAGAAGTCACCTGCCCCCATGCATGCTGCGCATATGGGTTTTGGAATAGGCGCACTCGCTGCACCTCTGATTGCCAATCCCTTTCTTGCAGTGCTTGAATTTACCCATACTAATGCAACTACAGCAGGAATTGAAAGTATCCCGAACTCAGCGTCTTACGTGATAATTGAGGAAACACGTGTACAAACGGCATATGTAGCAATAGGATTAGTGTCACTGGCGCTATCATTACCATTTTTTGTATATCCGTTTGTTAAGTGTTTTGTTATAAAAGATAAAAATAGAAACCAGTACGTCTCGTTTGACACGAATAAATGTTCGAAAAAAACAAAATTAAAAAAATTCATAGACACAATAAATCCAGCAGTGTATGCTGGAGGTTCTTTTAAATTCGGTACATTTGTTTTTTTATTGTGATTGGATTATACTTTTTCAACATGGTCGGGGGTGAACAGCTTTTTGGAAATTTCATAAGAACATTTTCTGTTGATGAACTCCGTTTTACCCGAGACGAAGCTTCATATTTGGACACAGTTTACTGGGGAAGTTTTACCGTCGGTCGTTTCACGGGAGCAATGTTGTCACATCATGTACATATCAAAACATTATTTTTAATCGATGTAATATTGAATCTTACAGCGGTGACTTTTCTTAACATATTGTCTACAAAGAACAAGTCACTTCTCTGGACTTTTACAGCAATAGTTGGATTTTTCGTAGCTCCCTTGTTTCCTGCGGGGATATCTTACGCAAATACACAGATTGAAGTCGGGGGAGTTGTTCTTACTTTGATTGTATTCATGACTGGTCTTGGATATATGTTTTATATCTGGATAGAAGGTATTTTCTATCAAAATTATGGACCAAGAACAGCTCTCTATGCAATGCAAGTTTCAGCAATATTGGTATTCGTAATTACTGTTGTTTTTATAGCATTTACATACAAGAGGAAAGAAAGATTCAATGTAGATATTGACACTGAACTTAAAGTGAGACCAGATGATACTGAAAATACCCAGTTAGATCAGAATTCCTTACAGTCTGAAGATTGATGATTAAACTTTTTATGAGCCGCGTCATGACAAAACCAACATAATGGGTTTGCGACCAACATGGATCCAGACCAGCCTGCGCATCCGCGCAGTCTGATCAGGATCCATGCTGTTCGCTATCAGTTTCTCTACTTGTAATAGGGCTTGTAAGCGAACAGCATTTATCCTGATCAGACTGCGCGGATGCGCAGGCTGGTCTGGATCCATGCTGGTCGCAAACCCATTATGTTGGTTTTGTCATGACGCGGCTCATATGTTATCTTATTTATTGTTGTTCTTATTATAGATTAATGTCATTTTTGATGTTAACTTCTGTAATTTAAATTGATATGTTTCTGTACTTTGTATATGTATTAAGTAACATGCATGTAATACGAAATGAAATAGCTCTTGACTGGTTTGCATTTAGGAAGATTATTTGTATATTTATTTTAACAAGACAAAATGCTTGGAAACATGTTTTATGCCTTATGCCAGTTGATCACAATCTACAATATTTTCTACGAATACAATTATTATAAGCAGGTGTACCTTGTGAGTAATGAAATAAAATCAAAAGTACCTGTAAAAGCGGGGAAATATACTCCCCAATGCAAATTTGTTTGAGGAAACGAAAAACTCTTCAACTAGTTAGGCTGTAAATGAGATTCATTAAACTCAATTTGATACGCAAAAATTGATGCCGCCAGCAATCAAACTCAATACTGTGGAGAGGTCTGATGACCATTCCAATTACGGAAATGTAAGCTATTTTTAGTTACTTCGGTAATCCCAGTTTGTTTCTATGAATAGGATTTCTATATTTTTTACTTAACTTATCGGTTTAAAACGTAAGTAGAAGGAAGAAATAAATTATAAACGAAAATGTTCCGTTTCAATTCGTTTTGCAAGACGCAAAAGTTAGTTTCTTTTATGATTGATATTTGTCTTTATTAGTTTTATACAATAGAGAATGGCTACTGTAGTAGTATTCTGTCTCCAAAGGACAGTCCTTCTTACCAAAATATCGTGAGCGAATCACACATAGAATTAGTGCGAACAAGTTAAAATTGCATAGCGCTATCACATTTGTCTGCGATCGAGTTATAGTTAGATCAACTGTATCTTATATTTAAACGCAATTTTAACGTGGAGTTTAAACTACAGTATAACGTATTCACGGGGGAGGAAGTGTTACACGAAGGATGAAGTTCTTATGATAACTTGTTCAGGAGTTATTGTGATAACTGTCAAGGAGTTCGTCGGAAAACATCTGTATACACTACAAAAACACTCGTTTAAATGGTTATTTTCATCGTTCAAAAAAGAGTTTTAGGTGCTAAATTAAACTTTAATGATTAAGCTTGTCTTACATCTTGTATTATGTGTCAAAGCCTAATTTGTTAATGCGGTGAGCGTAAATTACAAATTTTTCACACAAGATTACGTACTAACTGCAGCTCTCTTTCTGCCGATTTATTTGATAAGAACATTACCGACTCTCGTTTGTGTGAATGTGGTGCGAGAGAAAATGCTTATCACTACTTTCTTGAATGCCCTAAATATACTAACCTACGACCTGAATTAATAAGTACTATATCTCAATTTTGTAATCCTTCCATCAATGTCATTCTTACTGGTTCCACTACTTTACCTTATGATTCTAATGTATCAATCTTTAAATCAGTTCAAAAATATATCCGAGATACAAAACGATTTTAGCGTACTTAAAACCAGAGATGTCTTAACATATTTGACATTTACTAGATTATGCATCTTAGTTCCTCGTTATTGTTCCATCATTGTTCATCCATTTCTTCCTTCCTTTTTCTAATATCTTTTTTTCTTTAAATATTCAGTGTATATCTATTGTGCGTATCTGCTAATATACAGCTGTAAGCATTCAAATAAGATATTATTTTTCTTCTTCTTACTAAATTCTAAAACAAAAAAAAAAAAAAAAAAAAATACTAAAATAGGTGTTTGTCTATTTGTACTTTTTTGTGAGTTGCTTTATTCTTCAATCATTTTTTTTCTCTCTCCTTTTTACTGTTTGCTCTTACATATGTTACATTGCTAAATACTTAACTCTTAACTATTATGTGAATGTCTTTGAATACTTCAACTAACCGTTGTGTATGATAATGCCATGAACTGTGTTATTGTAAATTATTATAACTGGGAGAGGACATTTATAAGCTTTATAGCTTTCTGCCCAATCCCAAAATGTACTTTGTAAATATTGTTCACTTGTTAAATGTTTTGTTGAATAAATATGTTTAAACCAACCAAAGCCTAATTCACAGGCCATTTTTAATCGCCTCTTGCTTCAAATCTTGTAGTTTTCAGTAAAATTTCAAAATAACTTGCCAATTCACAAGTTTTGACCTGTTTATTTCTGGTCTTCATCCTTACCATACATAATTACCTAATTATAATGCAAAATTGCAATCATAAAGCACCGGCTAACAGATTTATAGTCGATTTTTTAAATGTCCTGGAGTTCTTGTGATAACTCTGAAGATGTCACAGAGTTCTTATGATAACTTTTGTTATTGCCAATGTGCTTCTTGTGCTAAAACACAGCACGTTTTAGCGTTTATTATTATTCAATAAGATTGTAAATCATTACGAAATGTAGTACGCTCATCCTTGGCGCAAAAAAATAGGATATATAATGTTGGTTTTGAGTGAATTTTAGTTCAAGAGATATTATTTCTTACCAATAGTATTTTTTTTTTGCATTTATTTAGGACCTGCGCAGAACCAACAACTTTCCGTTATTCTAGCTGAAAAGCTAAGTCAAATGGTTCAACACGAAATTCGTAACAGATGAAGAACTCAAAGCAAGTGATTTAAAGTCAGTAACATTAACAACTTCTGGTAAGAACCATTTCATGGACGAGAGGTAAATGTGTCGAACTAGTTATCTAAGGATATCTGGCCGTTTGGCTTTAAACCCCAACAGGGGCTAGCCGTTGTTTCCTTTAAGAAAAAAACACTTTAGATTCCTTATTTCTCTGTGCTTGTTGGTTTCAAGAACGGTCAACAGCTAAGATATTTTGTGTATAACATTGTCCATTAGATTTCTTTAACATGTATTTAAACAACGGACAAAGTATTACAATTGGTTTCACCCGGATCATTTGATTTTACATCGATTCTTTGAAATAATCTTCCAAACCAATACATAATCCTTGGCTATTAAGTTTGTGAACCTTAACGACATTTCTTTTAGTTTCTTGAAAGAAAGAAATTTTAAACTAGTGAACACATTTTCTTAAACTTTGACTTTGTAAAATCATCTTTCATTTCAACTTATCTTTCGAAAACACTTTTGATGAAAACATTTCATTGAATGTTTACCGATTTGCTTTAGGAATACAAATTTAACATTTTTAATTTTTATGCATCAATATTCGATCTATTGTTCAGACTGAGTAAAAAACACATTAATTTGTTCTGCGTTGTTTTGAGGCCATGTTGCTGCCAAGGCAATGGTCCAGTCAACATTTGTGCCAGGTTTGATTAGTATTTAAGCAGTTTTTATAGTTTTTTTAGCAATTTGAACTTGTAACGGGAGACTTTTCAATGAAAACAGACATTTTTTCACAAAAAGCTCATGAAGTAATGGGTTAATGAGTTATAAATTTTGTCAAACATCAACGAAACCACTACTTACATTACGTCAACGATCTCGTTTATTCATGCGCATAAGATTAAGAAAAGCACACAAGTGGACGAAGTTATCTGGTATTATGTGAGATGGATAGAAAGTTTATAATTTTCATGTATTTTACCTATGAAGTATTTATTTAACTGCTAACGATTGAATGGTTTGTTAATCAAAGTTTTTTTTTTACATTAGAAAGCTTACTTTCGGTTCTGTTTTCGGATTTTAGGTTTCTTTTGTTATTTCCAAAGGTATTGCAAATCTGTTGATTTGGGTATTTGTATTAACAAAATGTTATCATTTTAAAACTTGATAGTGAAATTTCGATATAATTAAACTTTAATTACGTCCATGCTTTTCATTGAGGTAAAATGGCATTCACAATAATAGAAATAAAAGAATTAAATGACAGAAAAATGAACTGATACGAAAAAAATTGTGTACGAAATAAATTGTTTTGTTTGTATTTCTTATTTACACATTCTTTACTTCATACTTAATTTTTTCTTTCTTTTAGAATATTTTGTATGTGTCAACATTTGCATATGATTGTAATATTTCAAAAATTTAAACATAAAATTCAATAATAAGCTCAATATTGACACATACAAAATATTCTATTTTTTTCTAAATAATAAAAAACGCTTAGACAATTGTGATGCCACAAAACTTTGCTCAACGAATTGCCACATACATAGAATGATAAACGATACGATCTGTTGAGTGTTTAAGGTCAGGGTATCGCATTGTAACATGGCCAGCGATTGGCTGAAAAAAGTGCAGGGAAAACCGTATGAATCACTTTATACATGAGGTGATTGGATGAGAATGAGGTATTTTTAAGTGTAAAAACTAAATTAAAAAGTAACACTATACTGTTTTCTGAAGAAAATGAAATATTTCATGAGTCTCTATGATAATTTTGACTTGGATATTTGCATTTATTAAAAGTGTATGTCAGTCCTGTGATCAGTTGAAAACTTCAATGAAATGGGGGTCATCCTCTTTGAAGTCATTTTGCAAAAATTTGGTTGGCTACCACTATATAACAGGACCATTTTTATGTGTCAGGCATTTCATTCTGCTAGAAAAATCACCTCTTTAGCATGAAAACTCAATTTTAAGGTAGGATTAGGGACCATTTCTTATAATGTAAGTCTATGGAAATATCAATGTGAGTGTCTGACCTTAACACTAAATCGAAATGAAATACATTTCCATGATTTATCACTTCTTCGAAGAATATACTTCCTTACTCCTTACTTATCCATTATGACAGATATATCATGTCAGCAGTGAAAAAATATGTTTCATGTCATAGTAATGAGTATGACACGTATCGGGATGAATAATATGTATGTATGTATGTATGTATGTATGTATGTATGTATGTATGTATGTATGTATGATGATGATGATGATGATCACTTTACACAAGTAATTATGAGTAATCTCTGCCTATTGATTAAAGATATGATAATAATAAAGATAACGAAAACACATATGCAACTATTTCGACAACATTACCAAATAATTGCATTCGCGAATTCATATGACAAAATTTTGTCGTCTGCATTTTTTTAAAAATATTGTTCATTTGTTGTTCTCACACAAAAACATTATGCGTTTTGCCTTGCCAAAAGATACTTGTTTCTATTAATTCGACATATCCATTTTCTGCACAAATATAACGGAAATTTAGATGTGCATATTTGTGAAAGGAACGGCTGCAACTGGTTGTGAAACAATAGTCACAGTGACGGCAATCATTAACCGATTATTATATGCCATGTCTTGTTAGAAAAGCTAATATCCCCTGCGTTAAGAATATACGAGTATGTGATTAATTGCAGTCAAGCACACATGATAGTTACAAAGTGTATGTTATAAATTTGCGCGTTTTCGTGTGTATTTCAACGTAACTTTAGATGCGAACATTTTTGCAAGGAACGGATGCTAATGGTTATGAAACAATGATCACTGTGACAGAAATGGTTCGTCGAAAATTATATGTTGTGTCTTGTGTGACAGCTTAGAACTTCTGCTTTTAGAATAACTGCAATTCATTACAATCGGGCATAAATCATTATCACAAAAAGTGAGCTTTTTCGTGAATATTTCCTAGTCACAATAATCACTGTGGCAGAAATGGTTCGTCAAAAATTATATGTTGTGTCTTGTGTGACAGCTTAGAACTTCTGCTTTTAGAATAACTGCAATTCATTGCAATCGGGCACAAATCATTGTCACAAAAAGTGAGTTTTTCGTGTATATTTCCTTGTCTAAGTAGAACATTTGTTTGAGTGGAGAACACGTCTAGTAGTATATGGGTCTCTTTAACGTCACGACTGCACACATGCGGCGGCCATCTTGTTTCCATATATATATAGTAATATATTTGCATATAAGAACACGTCTGACTAGCAATCTAAGAATATCTTGCCGAGTTGGGTTTAAATCTTGTCAGGGGAAAGCCGTTGTTTCCTTGAGCAAGAAACTTTACACTCATTGCTCTTCAGGAATAGATTCAAGTGTATGTTTTTAAGCTTACATCTTCCTTCACTATAAAATTAATTCTGTATAAACTAATTCTATGAGTTTTTTTTCAAACTTTTTTGTGTGTTTTTTTCCTACTAGAAATAAATTTTGGTGTCAGAAAACTTGACAATTTGAACAAGGATCATGCACAATTTTATACTAGATGTGAACATTTTGTAATTCCAAATGAACGCAAAGTATCGTACCAATTACAACAACGTATGTACACGATAAAGAGTAAATGGTTTAATGAACAATACAAAAATAGAAATATCTTTTAACAATTTGTCTACGAATAAAGTGATTTGATTTTTTTTGCAGATTCAAGTGGATGAACAGGCAGTATTTTTTTTTGTTTTCAGAAGCAAAACATCGTACATTTTTATGTATAAGATATAGAAATTCCCTTACAAATATAAAAGTCATGTCATTCAAAAAATAAAACATATGCCCATTAAGCCACAGAAATGCTTATAGTTTTCAAATGGTTTTTATTTCTTGTGTCCTGTAATATTTTCTTAAACTTAACTCATTGGCCTTATATATCAAACAATTTTTGTCAAGCATTTTAATTGGCACTTTGTACAGTTACAGTTATAATTATATAGTATTTTGTATGAAAGAAGTGAAAATACTACTTTATTTACATTTTACTACCATCGTCGCAAATCATTTAAACATTCAGAACTATTTCATGAGGCGTTAAGCAACGTAATATAACACATGTTTCTGGGGCTTAATGTTCCTTTAACTCTCTCAGTTCTTTTACACACATATAAAATATTTTTGTGGTAATATTCAGGCATATTTTGAATAAAAATCAATAATAAAATTTATCTTTTTGATAGAACGTAGCCTCTCATTCGGTGGCATAATGCACATGCAATTCTTCTGTATTCCAACTCATTACCCTGGAAAAAAGAGGAAGTTCGTACCCTTCCGTACTCCGTAAAATCCCCCGTGAGCTAACTATTGTTTTGCTGTATTCGATACACTGCGCATGTCTAGTTTCAGTGATCGCCAAAACTTTATAACCAGAGACCGCGAATATATTGTAATTGTTCCACTAAATTTGTTACGTCACTATAGTCTACCATTGAAAGTTTTGTTTTCGTGTTGTCCAGCCGAACTAATGTAACCATATTAAGCGCCCGATTAAAAAAAGCCCAGGTGACTTCTGAAACAAGTTCAAGTTGTGAATATATAAACACGGCGCCTGTTATTGAAAATGAGTGAAGTTTACAGACAGTTGATGACAACCACTTAGGAAATAGTTATGGAAATCGAGAAGTGTCCTCACAAAGTTTGTAACGGCCCAGAAATTTAATTTATGGGTATCGTTTTATATTTTCCGCCGTGTCCTTTGTAAGAAAGTGTCTGATTTTAATGACATTTGTGGAGGTAAAGCAATTAAGAAGCATAATTTTATAACAAGTTGCCGATGTAGGATATTTACTGAAATATCCTGTTTAAAGAGGTATTGCAGTCCGCTCGTGAACAATGCATATAGAGTTGGAACAATTTATTTACAAACAAATGTTCGAAGGAAAGTTGGTCCTAGAAGTTATTTGCGGGATACGGAGGTGGGGGCGCCGAAGGTGTGTCTTGAAAGCCTGTAATAAAAGATAATAATAATAATAATAATAAAAAAATAATAATAATAATTATAATAATGATGATAGTTATGAAATTATGATAATAAAATAATAATAAAAAATAATAATAGAAAAGAATTAGATGATGATGATAATTTTGATAACAATAATATAATAATAATAAAAATTATAATAAGTCTAATAGAAATGATGTTAATGATAATTCTCATGATAATAATAATAATCATTATTATTATTACAATAATAATAATAGTGATGATGATGATCATAATAATAATAATAATAAAAATAAAAAAAATAATAATAATTATAATGATGATGATTACACTTATATATTGATACTACTACTACCTACTACTACTAAAAATGATAATGATAATAATAATAATGTTAATAATGATATAAACATTTAATGTATGGTAAAGGATTATCAATAAACATCTTTAAATATGTAAAAGTTTAATTTTCAACAACAACTCCATTAGAAGAAAACTTTGAACGAAATTACGTGGACAGTCAATATCAATATAGAAATTGTGTAATAAAGAAGAATTGTCAATTAAAAATTTAAATAGCCGGCAGATAAAAATCTTTCTTTAGAAAATGCATTTATTAATGAAAACTCAAATAAATGTCTGATAATTATAACAATAGTTAGACTCATTTTAAGAAAAAATAACTTAAGTGTAAAGAATTAAAGTGATTGAGGAAGAAGTACAGTCATGTAGACCTTCCAGTTTCTTTGAGAAACTTTTTTTCGAACAAACCATTTTTACATGTAAAGTTATAACAATCTTGACGAGGACGACGACGACGACGACGACGACGACGATGATGATGATGATTTTAATGATGATGATCATGATTATGATGATATGATGATGAAGACGACGACGAGAATGATGATTTTGATGATGATAAGGAGGAATGAAAACAATAAACAATAATCGTGATGGTGTTGTTTGTGGTGGTGGTGGTTGTGGTGATGACTATGATGATGACGAAGACGACATTGATAACAGTTAAGACAGTAAATACGATGGTGATGATAATAATAATGAAAATGAAAGAAACGACAATTGAAGAAAACAGGATACAAAACAAAATAATGATATAAAATGGTAAAACAGCAATAATTCGATTGTCCAATTCATTCATTCTCCAAGCGCTTGAGAATTTAAAAGAAACACATCTTAAATTTTAATAATACAGTTTAGTCAGAGCTGGAATTGCATGCACAAATTAAAAAAGAATCATATAATAAAAGATCAATAAATCATGATGTTTGAAAACTTTAAAAACGATAAGCTAGCATTTATATCTATTTTTAGTGATATTTTTTTATTGCAGAGATTAGCACAATTTGGTGACGAAGTGCTTTAAGTATTAAATTATAGATAATTACCGTTATATTGCGAGGGAGAATATGGCGGAGGTCCAGACACACCATTCTGTGGCTGAGATCTATCCCCTGCAAATGCAAGAAAAATAAAATAACTGAATAAATATTTCCTGATAATTTTTGAATTATTTAGATAAATAACAATCTGAAATAATAAGCTGAGATTCTATCTTGCTGTCAATTGCTATAAGAAAAATAAACAAAAAAATAATAAATGTATATTTTTGTGTTTCGAAGGGATCACTTTATTCCATAGATTTATATATGCGTGCTATTGTCTAGCTTAATGATCTTATAAAGCGTTACAAGTTCTAAATTATATTTAAGTAAAGATATCAGCTAAAATAGGTAACAAGTCAAACAGACTATAGCTTTAGTGCTTGTTTTAAAGACAGAAATAAGAATGCATGCTTCAGAGACAGAAACAAGAATGCATGTTTCAAAGGCACAAATAAGAATGCATGTTTCAAAGACAGAAACAAGAATGAATATTTTCAAAGGCAGAAACAAGAATGCATGTTTCAAGGACAGAAATAAGAATGCATGTTTTCAAAGTCGGAAATAAGAATGCATGTTTCAAAGGCATAAACAAGAATGCATGTTTCAAAGGCAGAAACAATAATGCATATTTTCAAAGACAAAAACAATAATGCATGTTTCAAGGACAGAAACAAGAATGCATGTTTCAAAGACAGAAACAAGAATGCATGTTTTCAAAGGCATAAACAAGAATGCAAGTTTCAAAGGCAGAAACAAGAATGCATGTTTCAAAGACAGAAATAATAATGCATGTTTCAAATGCATAAACAAGAATGCATGTTTCAAAGGCAGAAATAACAATGCAAGTTTCAGAGACAGAAACAAGAATGCATATTTTTAAAGGCAGAAACAAGAATGCATGTTTCAAAGGCATGTTTCAAAGACAGAAATAAGAATTCATGTTCAAAAACAGAAATAAGAATGCATGTTTCAGAGACAGAAACAAGAATGCATACTTTCAAAGGCAAAAACAAGAATGCATGTTTCAAGGACAGTAATACGAATGCATGTTTTCAAACACGGTAATAAGAATGCATGTTTCAAAGGCATGAACAAGAATGCATGTTTCAAAGGCAGAAACAAGAATGCATACTTTCAAAGACAGAAACAAGAATGAATGTTTCAAGGACAGAAATAAGAATGCATGTTTTTAAGACAGAAATAAGAATGCATATTTTCAAAGGCAGAAACAAGAATGCATGTTTCAAAGGCAGAAACGAGAATGCATATTTTCAAAGACAGAAACTGGAATGCATGTTTCAAAGGCAGAAACAAGAATGCATGTTTTTAAGACAGAAATAAGAGTGCATATTTTCAAAGGCATTAACAATAATGCATGTTTCAAAGACAGAAACAATCATGCATGTTTCAAAGACAGAAATAAAAATGAATGTTTCAAAGGCATAAACAAGAATGCATGTTTCAAAGACAGAAATAAGAATGCATATTTGCAAAGGCATAAACAAGAATGCATGTTTCAAAGGCAGAAACGAGAATGCATATTTTGAAAGACAGAAACTGGAATGCATGTTTCAAAGGCAGAAACAAGAATGCCTGTTTTTAAGACAGAAATAAGAGTGCATATTTTCAAAGGCATTAACAATAATGCATGTTTCAAAGACAGAAACAATCATGCATGTTTCAAAGACAGAAATAAAAATGAATGTTTCAAAGGCATAAACAAGAATGCATGTTTCAAAAACAGAAATAAGAATTCATGTTCAAAAACGGAAATAAGAATTCATGGTTTAAAGACGAAATAAGAGTTCAGGTTTCAAAGACAGAAATTAAAATTCATGGTTTAAAGACGAAAATTAGAGTTCATGGTTTAAAGGCAGAAATAAGAATTCATGTTTCAAAGACAAAAATAAGAATTCATGGTTTAAAGACAGAAATAATAATTCAGGTTTCAAAGACCGAAATAATAACGCATGTTTCAAAGACAGAAATAAAAATGCATGTTTTCAAAGACAGAAATAAGAAACGCTTTTATTTTTATTTCCCAAAATCTTCCTTTTTTGGTGTTCTGTTAAAGACTAATTGACAAATTTTCTGAACTATCTTTTGTGTATTTTGCTTTCTGGCAAGTAGTACAGAACAAGTGATTAAGTACTGTATTTTGTATAAGTCAAAATACTACTTTGTTCACATTTTGCTACTTTTATAAAAATAATTTTTACATTCAGCGATTCTTTCTTCGAGTTATTTATAAGCATCTTTCATGCATGAAAGTATTGTTAAAACGTCATAAAACTCTTGTTTACCTTTAACGCAATGAAGTAACGTTCCGAAGTGATTGATAACGACACATCTGATATTGGATATTCAGTACTGATTAATTCATATAAGATTTCAATACTAACCTTCAAACCCTATCGGCCTATTAGACATAGAACCATTTGCCTCGGTGTTGCCTATGGTGTCGTAGGAATTTGCCGTTTCCGGATATGACGACATGTCTGCAAAATAGATACAAAAAAATCTATAATATAATCATTGTAATTAACCCTTTCACTGCCATAGGGACGGCTTATGCCGTCCCTCTCATTTTTCGGCGTATTTGCCATATGGACGGCTTTAGCCGTTTCTATAATAATTATAGTGATAATAATAAATTAATAATAATAATAATAAAAATAATAATAATAATTATAAATAAAATTAAACCTTCGACAATAATTATTATTATACTCACAGATTTGGAAACATATATAATTATTATAATAGTAATAACAAATTAAAATAACTATATCAATTAATAATATAGTAATTTTTTAGAAAACCCTCTGGCAAATAGGTGATCAATAAAACAATAACCCTCTGGCAGCGAAAGGGTTAAGTCAATACATATTTAGCTCCCTTCTATAATTGCTAATCCTCATTCAAAATTGTGAGTGTTTTTCTTCTATGGACAGTTCTTAAAATGGACACTGTCCAACTCTATCACGCAAATTCAACATGTTAAGGCTTAAAATATCTAGTTCAATTTATTTAAGATGTTTTGTAAGTTATTTTGCGAAGTTAAATTGAACTTACCTTGTTTTTGGTCATACTGGAAATTGGAACCGTTTGTAAAATAAGGCTGATTTACACTATATTGAACTGAGGCTGTACCTGTACGTAATAAAAACAAGCAAATAATTTTATAATAATAGTCTGCTAAGCTTATATACAATACAAAATACAATACAATACAATACAAAATACAATACAATGCGATACAACAATACAAAACAAATAACTACAATACAATACGATACGATACGATGCAATGTAATGTAATGCAATGCAATGCAATGCAATACAATACAATACCATACAATAAAACATTACAAAATACATTAAAATTCCAAAACAAATACAATACAATAATATGCAGAATACAATAAATAAAAATACAATACAATTTGTTCAGTTGTATTCTAAAATAGTTTTGCGCAAAAGGAATGATCACCATAATATCAATGAGACACGGTTATTTCAGGATATGAAAATAAAGAAATATATCATAAGTTTTATAAATTACAATTCAATACAAAATACAATACAATATACAAAATACAATACAATGCAATAATATAAATTCAATACGATACGATGGGATGCCATATAATTCAATACAATGCAATACAATACAGTAAAACAACACAAAATACATTACAATTCCAAGACAAATACAATACAATAAAAATACAATACAATTTGTTCAGTTGTATTTTAAATAGTTTTGAGCAAAAGGAATGATCACCATATTATCAATTAGAAATGGTTATTACAGGAAACATATTAAAGAAATATATAATGAATATTTTAATGATAAAGCATTAGTATTACAATAATGAAGATAAACAAGTGAAATGATACGGCAGACGGCCAAAAAGGTGCAGAAATTTCGTTTGCCGACAATGTTTATATTTACGTAAAGGCCCATTATGCCTGAGAAAATGGTTTTATTTTCATTTCTCAAAATTGAAGCTTATCATTTTGGTGTACTTTTACAGTATCCAAAAATGTCGTCGTTGGCCACTTACCTACCCCATCTTGTTCATTTATTCCTTTTCGACAATAAGTGCAGTTATAGTGCGTAAGTATTTTGTAGTGAGGTCAAAATACTACTTTGTTTAAAATTTGCTACTTTTATGACCAATTCTTCCACATTTATCGCCACTCTCTTCAGGTAACAAGCATCTTACATTTTCATCAACTAAACATTCTAAAATTCATATTTGCCCTTTCATAAGAAGTATAAATTTATTTATTTCCGAGGCCTTTAATATGTTCTTAAGAAGTATAAATTTATTTATTTCCGAGGCCTTTAATATGTTCTTAAGAAGTATAAATTTATTTATTTCCGGGGCCTTTAATAATGTGCCTTTAAATGAAATGTCTTTTTTATCCAAACCTGTTGAAGTATTTTGAGCGTATGTTGTTCCATTTAATCTTTGTCTTCGTTTCATTTGTATGACAACACAGTACACCAAAATGCCCACACACGCACAAGCGGCGAGAACACCAAATACTATTCCGATAATTCGTCCCACAGCCGTCCTTTATAACAAAATGAAATCTTTGAATTGACATTTATGTGAACCATTTAATATAAAAACTGGATAAAAGTATATGAAATAAACTTAATTCTGTGAGTTAATATTTAATGGTTAAACGGTGAATTGATAAAAAAAATTTATTACACATGCCCCTGGTGAGCATGATTTCATTTTTTTAAAAAAAACGAGATCAATCAATTTGGTAATAGATCTATGTATAGGTCAGTGTCTGTTAGTCACCAATAATGAAATAAAAATCTGTCAAAAGCGGCGCAAAAGAGTGGTTTATGTTTGATCGGTATATATTTGTAAAACTCACGCATCCGTATATTCACAACATGTCTGAGCATCTTCGTCCCCGCAGCAATATGCCATATCGTCGTCTTGTCCCTCTTCGGGACAAATGAAATACCCATATGTTCCATTTTTCAAGTTCTTTTCGTTGAAACAAACTGTCGGCTCTGATATAGAAAATATTTTGTTATGGTTTTTAACTCTATCTTTTGACATGCAAAATATCATAATATAAATAATTCGCTCACTGATACTTACACAAGTTTTAAATGAAATATAACCTATATCATTTAAAGTTTTTTCTTTCGTTTGATTAATGAAATTTGTGTCTGTTTAAATGATTACATACTTATTTATGTATATCTTTATTCGTCGTGAAAATATTTTATATATTTATTCGCGGCACGTATTGTTACAAACTCAAGACTTTGATTACACATTTTCCATGCTCATTAAATTGTAACGTAAAAACCCAATTCATTTTACAGATACTTGCATAGACTTTTATTTCATATATGTACACTAATGTAAGTGTATAGATATTTAAAGAACTATGTGAAAATACAAACAGAGAATATCCCTTTAAAAAATTATGCATAGAACACCTGGTTAATAAAATTAATACATAAATAGAAATTATATACTTAAGAGAGATAATGAAGTGAAAAAAAAATAACTATGTGTACAGACCGGTTGATAAATCTAAAGGTGTCGGATTCTATTTACAAGTTTGACTGTATTTGTCATATATAGGAATACGTACCACTGTTTGGAGAATCATAGTACCGCCTTCTGTGTTTGTAACTGGACAGTCCATATAATGTACCGACGGCCGCCGCCGTTTTCCATGTCCCTGGTGAATAAGAAGATCCGCTATAGGAACTACGGGTCCCGAATCTGAAATTTTTCACAATTTGGTAGATAAATTTACATACTTATACATTGTATTAATATAACTGAGCCGCGTCATGACAAAACCAACATAGTGGGTTTGCAACCAGCATGGATCCAGACCGGCCTGCGCATCCGCGCAGTCTGATCATGATCCATGCTGTTCGATATCAGTTTCTCTACTTGTTATAGAGTTTGTAAGCGAACAGCATGGATCCTGATCAGACTGCGCGGGTGCGCAGGCTGGTCTGGATCCTTAATGGTCGCAAACCCATTATGTTGGTTTTGTCATGGCGCGGCTCATACATGATTTTACAAGGCATTCGCATTGACAGCTTATTCAATTATAGTGTCACTATAAAGACCAGACAGGTTTTTTTTTTATATTATTGTATAAATATTCACAAACTTTTAATGATTATCCTTAACTGTCCTTATATATCAAAAGCTGAATTATACGTATATTTTCCTCTGTTTCCGACTAGCCAAAACTCCTACAACTGAAAAATATTCGGTCTGTTGTTTACAATTATGTTTCTTTTTATTAAACTCCATCATAAAGGGAGTAGGTAAGGGACCGCCCCCCCCCCCCCAAAAAAAAAAGAAACAACAACAAAAAATTAAGCAATAACAATTAAACAAAAACAACAACAACAAACAAACTAAATAAAATAAATAATAATAGATAAATAAAGCAAACAGAAACGAAAAATGATGTTTTTTTTTCAGTCTGCGCATCTACAAACTTTTACTTGCGGATTCGTTAAAAAGGAAAGTGACCTTGTAACACTTCTGACAGAACTTCTCGTTCCACTACTCGTGCTCCGTGTCCTCGATGTGGATCTCACCCTCGCCCCTCCCCTAGCTCCATGTGTATTATAAATACCTGAAAATATGTAGTGCGCTTGCGATATTTAAAAGTACATTTCAATGAGTGGAATTTACTCGAACTAAAGCCCAGCAAAAGTTGTGGTTCTTATCAAAAAATTTATCACAAGTTGATCTTGGTTATTTTCTGCATAAAAAATTAAAAAGATAGATGACTTAAAAATAGTCTCGACAAATCATATCACAAAGCTTTTTCTGTAATTCATATATATTGTTGTTTTTTTTTTAAATATATTTATAAATTAAATATTGAGGAATATAAAAAATACGTATTTATAATTGCGTTTATTTTCATTTTCCGTATTTTCATCGGTGTCTTGCGAGACCACTTTTTATTTTTAGATTATGCCAGTTTACAAAAATAAAGGGAAATTCTTTTATATGTTAAAACAGAGCTAATAATATAACAGAAAATTCACGTTTTTTTTCAATTTTCATCATATAGTAATAAAAAATTATCATATTTCACTCGTGGCTACTGCCACACATGAAATATTTATTTTCATACCACCCGATGAAAATAAATTCTGTATTTATCACTGGGGATATTGCTTTTGTGAAATTAACCACGCATGAATAATTTCTTTATTATCCAGTGGTTTATAAGACACGTATGTAACAGGAAGATTGTGTTACACCAAACAGGGAACGGGAAGTTATGTGATACTATAGGTTAAATATCAGGACAAATTACGAAATACTTGCCTTTTAGGGCAACTGAACTTAATACATGTATTCGATACAAAATCCAATATGCCATTTAATAAATACAGTTCTCTATAGAAATTATATAAAACATGTATTAGGTACTAGTGTATAGATCAATAGCATTATTGATCAACACCTGTAAAAAAACAAATACAATCCGCATGACCTAGAATGTAACCTATGTCAACTCTTAAAATAATATTTGTTTCTTGTCCGCCAGCTCGAGAACACTAGCCTACTGTAGCGGAGACTATATTAATATAAACATTTTCCGCCGAACCCGAGTGACTTAGCCTAGCTTTGCCGAGCCATGGCAAAGCATTGCATTATCAAAGTGTAGCAAAAGCAACATCAAGGTATAGGCATAGCATAGCCATAGCCATGGTATAGCATAGAATGTTAATAGCATAATCATTAATCATATATATTATTTAACAAGTTCGTAAATTATATTCTTCTCCAGTTAAATGATTCAGCTTTATTTCAATTTAACATATATACAGTGTTCAGATATAAAGAAGATGATCGAATAAGTATTAAGTATACTAGTATTAAAAAGATTAGCGCTGCTATAAACTTTATAACACCAGCTTTAAAAATATCACTTGTCAAATGATATAGCGCATTGTAAATTAATAATAGATAATTAAAGGCGAATTGGGTTAATAATATATTAATAAGATACTTTATCGGTACTTACAATTTTTGAAAATGAGAAAGTATAAATTTGTATTGAGAAAATTGAGTATTTGAGAATAGAAAAAACTTTATTTGTAATAATATACACTCGTCATACAAAATTTATCAAGATACATTGTAATACAAGCCTCGCCCCGTTCTAGCCCATATCAGTCTCGCCTGATAAAACTGATATCAAAAGACAACATGTAACAACTGTCAAAAATTACAAAATAATCTACTTTTAAATAGCGAATTTCGTAGAAAAGGATATATTTGTTCAAAGAAATAATTCTTGAAAACAAATTCCTCCGCCCCTGAAACTTAGAATCGACCTTTTACAAACGTAAAAGTCGTTATTTAATATATTTCACAAGCATGAAAACTCTAATAAATATCACACGCTACTCTCTGATACGGACGTAGAAACTATTTTATTTTGCATTGCTTTTATACAAATAGTTGTTTTTAGATACAGATCATTTTATTTACGCTCTGGTAAGTTCTAACTAATGCACTGCACAAAAAAGACAAACCAAATCTTAAACATAATTTAAGTGTTAAGCATACATAGGTCGTTCGAGGATAAAAGTTTTTAAACAATCTTGACAACTTAAGTATGTATGTATGCATTCCAATGACTATTTTGAAATGCCCGATAAAATCATACAAAAACTATGATATTCTATCGACTATGATTTTCTTACATGTTAAAAGGAAGGTATCTTGATTTTATTAAGAAAAAGAATTAACCTGGAGTATTTGTATAGTTATTTCAACAAATTATATCTTAATGCCTAGTTAACTTCCAGTTAAGTAATATCTTAGATATTAACATTAAAATCAATAAATAACATTTTAACATACACAAATAATTTTTATAAATCAAAAACCCTACACATATAGTATAAAGAAATTATAAATGAAGAAATAAAGCTTACCGAAAACAAATATCAGAATTAATACCAAACATACATAAATACCATATGCCTTCATCTTTAGGCAAATGTGTTTTATTTATATTTTTGCGCATGCGCTTAGCAAAGACAGAAACGGGTATATTGACTCGATTATACAGGAGAATTATACTATTTATATTTGTCAAGTCATTGCTCTATGGCGCTCTTGATTAATCAATAGTCAGTCGGAAAAGAATTATAACATTCAAAAAAGTATTTTAAAAATGGATTAAAAAATAATATTTATTGCTTTAACAGAAAAATGAAAAGCGACAAATTTAGAAAGTGTTTATATTCACTTTATCCCCAATCACCGGTTATATCTACACACACGGTATTTTAGACGGAGTTAAACAGCTTGCGGCGATATATTATTGTCGATGTTAGAGATTGAGAGTGTGTCATCTTATTTTATTTACTGGTTTATAGTTTATCCTTTATGAAATCACGTTTTCCCACAACGTTTTCATTCATATATTAAATAAATAATGAAATGAAACTTTCATTAAATCATTTTTTCTCCATGTACTTTATAAGTATTTACAAGTTTTGAAAATGAGAAATGATAAAATTGTATAGAAAAATGAGTATTTGAGAATAAAAAAGTTTGCTCTTTGTATTATTATTGTAGTAATGATCGATGACCAAAATTATCGAAATTTTTTGTCTCCTTATTTCTCAAAAACATTTGAAAAAAAAAGAGACCAAATAATTGTATGACTTTCAAAAAGGCATTCGGTACTAGTATATTTGGCGGACTGTTAAAAAAACATGGCATGTTAGATTGCTATACTCATATAATGTTTCAATTAAAATGAAAACAAATCATGTCGGCAAATCTAATACATATGATTGTCATAACTGGCGTTTTTCTACACCAAAATGAAGTAGTAGAAAACGTGTGGGTTTTCTAGTCGCTGTCATTAACGGTGCCAATATGACCAATCAAGTGCTGGAGCGGCGAGAAGTATAACTGGGTCTTCAGCGCGTTCTAATGTTAAGTACTACGACTCTACATCGAATATGGCATCAATGCGGCGTTCTCACGGCGAAAGCCAGAACTTCCTGGAAACGCCATATTCCTATTTACAACTACGTTGTCGTACTGCAAACGTATTTGGGTCGCCACAGAGTTGCCATTTACATGTCGAACAATTTACATGTTGTATGTGCGTTTATACGGCGAATGTACGACATCTCGAGTACGTTCATAGTACGAGCTTGCGGTGTTCTCGGGGTTTCTACCGTAACTATATGGGCCTCTAGTCCATAACGCTCCGAAAAACGCCGGTCATTAGTATGTTTTTGTGCATGTGGCTCAGCATCCTGAAAAAGATGCGGTCTTCACCGCCATTAGACTCGACTTTTCAGTGTCCACATTTCTTCTCTTCGGTTTTGCACGTGAGATATATAGCATGTTCAAGATTAACAAAAACAACTTCTCATTTTGTTCAATGCATTAAATTTACAAATAATAACAGCAATTTTCGACTGTTTTCATAAAACATTGGAAAAAAACAGACGCACGAACGAAACCAGTCGTTCAACGGTTTAATGCACGCTGCAAAATAATTCTTTAAATACAAAAATACATGATAATAAAAAAAATTAATATAAAAAAAAATAATTCAAATAAATAGTTTACAGTGACTTGGATACATTCTTTTGTGAAATGTTTGATCCGAGAAATATGCCTAAAAGAGAATAAAACGCAAAAATTATTAAACAATAAATAAGTTTACATAATTAAACAATCTCCAGAACTAAAATATTGAAGTCTATGCACTTCAAAATTGAAATAGAAGACGAAACTGTAGGTGATATTATATCATAAGTTAATTTCATGAGATTATTATGCATTTTCGAGTCGAACGGAATCAGTTTTGTATACAAAAATGTACAGTAAAAAGGCGCGTACGTAGTTTTACTGAAAATGTGAATGTCCGCCGAAAGTCGTTAGGGGGTCCGAGGGTTTAACAACCCATCCCTGAACAGTTTTGAAACCCTTGCACGCAAATGGTGAATTATTGTGCCTTTTCAAATCAATATATGAAAATACTAAAACAAAAGTTTTTTCTAAGCAAGTGATTTTTTTTTCAGTTTTCCAAGAATTATTGCTGTTTCCAGAAACAAGTTCATTCATTAGCTTTCGTTTCCAGAAAATCTCCTCACTACACTTCATCGCAATCAGTTTAAAATTTGCAAGCAACACGGCAAACTAAACTATCCGCACAATTATCATAATTAATTAATCAGCAGTTAAAATAAATGACATCGGTTGTTGGGTTGAAACCCAGGACCATCCACACGCCTTGCCACACGGCCACATTAGCATAGCTATTAATAAACTAGTTTCCGTGAATCATATTTTTTAAGTTTATGACTGTTCATATTTGCTTTATAACCACAGTTAGCTTCTTAAGTAGCATTACGGTTTTGGTAATTCTATTTTATGGACTCGGAACATAAAAACAATGCTAAAACGTGATTCTTCGGGAACATGATTTAAGGTGCGAAATAAAGAAGCATTATTGGAAATATATATGTATGCTGGACCTGACCTGACATCGAATTATACAGTGCTTTCTTTGTGTCGTTTTATTATCCGTGGGACTACATACATACTTTCCTGTGTTTTTATAACTTTGGTCTGATTGTTAAATTTATAAACACCGTAAGCGACATAAACGTCATCCTAGAAAAATACAGAACGAAAATGGCAAGTACAGCTGGATTTTTACCACAAGAAGTCTTCAAGTTTGACCATTTGTAAGCTTGCATGTATTATATTGTCAATTTATTTTTGTTCTATCTGTCTATTGGGTCATAAGTTTTGTTCTAGTATAAATGGGAGTAGATTAGATTATGACGTCGCAGGTGACAGATCATTCTCGAAAATGGAAACCTTTAAGATTTCGAAACCGAAAGAAGTCGCTAAATTTAATATGTCTTGAGCCAAATCTTACATTAAGTTAAATATTTGATTCTCTTTGTACGTTTTACGTCTAAAACTATTCTTTTAAATTAAAAATTATGTATTACTGTTTTCAAACAGACTGACGTCAAATTATATTTTGCCATTTAGTTTAGATAATACAGACAGGATACTTGATATTCACCATTCATATTTACAGGGATAGAATTTAGCAAGATTTTCTACTGGCAGATTTTTGCAAGTGATCAAATGTTAAACTGGCAATATGAGATAGTCAACTCGCATTTCCATGATTACATATCTTATAATTATTATAATACACAATGACAATGTATTTTGAACATCTGGTATGACAAATGATAATAAGCTTGAATGTCTAACATTTTATCACTGGTAAACTGTAATGAAACAAACATTTCAACACATTAATTTATAAAATATAAACAATTGTTTATGGATCAGATTAGATATACCAGAGGAACACCCACTGGTGGCAACGTACTGTTATAAACTTTTTCATGTTATGTAATTGCTTAGGACCTTCATTAATTTTAGCATATTTTGTACTTGATTACATCAACAGTCTGAAAACTCAGAGGTACTGATAGATCTACTTATTTCAGTTAAAAAAAAGTAAACACTTTACAGAGGAGTGACTACGCATTTACATTGGACCCTGATAAAACATCTTGGATGCTCTAACCAATAGTGTTTGGCTGTTATAAATAGTCCATCAAAATATAGTCACAGAAAAGATAAACAGAGCAACTAAAAATTGATTTTTAAGTTTTTAAGGTAACGTCATCAGTTACTGCATCTGGCACAGTAAACATCATCAGTTTCTGCAGGGGACAGTTGCCAAGCATCATCATCAGCTCAGAAGATAACAATTATGTAAACGTCCAAAATGAACAGTCACTTGCAAATAAATGCCAGCCAGAGTAATTTTGACTGGCATTATTAGATTTTAAGTGGCAATTTGCCAGTATGCCAGCTTAAATTCTAACCCTGATTTAGTATCTCATTCTGCCCTTAAACTTTGACTTCACATCATCAGTTCCTTAGTTATGTCGGCAGCCTCCATCCCGAAGATATAGTCAGACTTATGACAAAGTCAAAGGTGAATTATTTAGTGGGTTTTAGCCAAGAAGTGTGTCAGCTTGTGCTTTAGGAAATTAGCCAGTTAGGGAAAGTGTTTGCATTTTCCAAAAAATGTCAAACTATAAAAAAGAAGGAAAATGAGATGTCTTTCAATGAAGGGCTGGGTCATGGTTTAAACAACCAATGTAACAAACGTGCAAAATATTAGACGTTTCACAGTACTAAGTTTGCATGTTTTGTTTATTTAATTCAACATCAACATGTTTTCTTATTTATTGTATAACCCTATTGATTTTTCTTTTAGGGAGACCCGTGTACAGAAACACCTGAAGAAGGTTTATGGCACCCTCTCCATTTCCATGTTTGCTGCAGCAGCAGGAGCCTATGTTCATCTCTTCACTGGTTTGATGAGTGTAAGTATTACCATTGGAAACAATACACTTCACCCCCCCCCCCCCCCCAGACACTTCACCCCTCAAATTTTGAAGACACTTTACCCCTCAAGACACTTCACCCCCCAAAATCAGTAAGACACTTCAACCCTCATCCAATATTTTTTTATAAAGTTAATAATTCAATTTTCAACAAATCAAGTTAAATGTATTAGGTATGTTGGATACTATTCTGGCTGGAGACTGAAATTAAGAGCGTCTTGATGAGATTTTGAAAAAAAGTCTTGCTGATTAAATGACATTAAAACTCTTTAATTTATAGATATATGAATTGTTAAGTTGTTGATTTCATAGTATACAGTATAAACTTTATGAATTTCAATATCTTTATACCCTGCTAAGTACTTTACAGATTTTAAGGACATTCTCACTTTTCATTCACATGAACTTACTTCTTTATAAAATATAACATTAACATATATATTCAATTTCTTTCTGTATAAGGTTAATTGATTGTATGACATCTAAGACATAGTTACTTGTCCTGCACTCAAACATAACTTAAAATGGACATTTTCAGTGTTTAGTGATTTATTTTTCAATTTTAAAAACACTCAATGGCTTTCTGAAGAAGAAAATATAATGTGATAAATCAGAAAAAGGGGAAATCTCAAATCACATTCCAAAAACTGAGAATGGAATTTACTAACACATTTTATGAAATTTTCAATTTCAGTTAAATTTAACATGCATGGTACATAGCAGAGGCTATCTATACTATAATAGGGACAGGTTTCTGTCTTCTAGCTAAAGGCTCCCACGTTTACAAATTTTTGTAAACGTGTACACGATTGCTAAGAACCGAAACGATACCGTTTAAATGGTGGTACTTCTTTGTACTATACTACACCATGTATTCAAGTCTCCAAATGATGACTTACTTTTTATTTACAAATAATTTAATGTTCAGGGCTCATCACGAGTCCACACACATTTTCTGCATTGTATCCTCATTTCGCTCTTTTGAAAGATGAAAGGAAAATCAACTTAACCAATGTATTATGTCACAATTAGTGCACAGTAATGCTGTGTGGAGGGTTGTAAATACCTATTTTCCGTTTTTTACTTTGGAATAAACCAATAACAATTGATAGAATTCATGATTACAGGCAATGATTAAGATATTTTGCAAAACAATATGGTCATTTCGATTAAACTGTAAAAATTATCGTAAACTTTTTCGACTGAAAATCGAAACAACTGTTTAAAGTGTAACCGTGGGGGCCTTACTTGTAGCTGATATAAGTCAAATGCTGTTAAGACATGGCTCTGGTGAAAAAGTGCATAGAGCATTGTAAGGGAAAATAAACTGTTTTGAGCTAGGGAAAACAGCCTTTATTCAGCTGTAAAATACAGAAAAAAATACTGATGTAATTGATATTCCTTATAAACACAAACAACATGATAATAATAAATTTTCATTTATGAATTATATTGGTTTTATAAAACATTGTTTTAATCTGGAAACAACAACATTTTTCGTTGTTACAGGCAGTTGCAGCTAATGATTATGTTATATATCTTATATTGGAATGGTGAAATACTTTTGTAGATATTAAATTAAAATATGACAAAGCAGATAAAACCTTTTGGTAGATGAGAAATTCATTAGAATTTAACTTAATTAGTTGTTTCCTCACGATATTATTGCAATTATCTAAGAGACATCTAGAACTTGCAGGGACAAATTTAAAGCATGGCAAATATAAGACTCTAATTTTTTTCCAATTCTTTGTAATTTTGTATGTGATTTAGCCATAACCCCAAACAATTCACACTGTCTCTGACAAATACATTGTAAACAATTTTGGTGTATAAAATAATTTCGGAGATTTTGTGTGTGGAAAAGCATTTAGATAAATAATAATGATAATTAAGGCTAACTATGGGTAAAATTCTACATATCCTGCTGGACAACCATATACAAATAATGATAATCACATGAGTACAATAGCTCTCCTGATTCTTCTAAAAGTCAAGCTAATGACATGATATAAATATTGAGTGAAGCTATTAACAAAATACTAAATACTGTATTCCGATATATACCAGACAAGACACTTGAGTTGCTAAATGCTAAAATCTTGCCTTCTAACCCAAGGGAATGAACTTTAAAGCATCTAATTCATCTCTTCATATCAATTCATATATGATAATAAATGAAAAAAGTAAAAATCGGCGAAAAAAACCAAACGATATTTGTCTACCGGTATTTTGTTATCATGTATGATGATTACTGCATGCGTCTAGAGGTACTGCTCCAACACTGTATTGAGATAAATCAATGACATGAAATAGTCAAGCTAATGATGTGATATAAATATTACAGGCTGGGTTATTGACAGCACTTGGTTCAATTGGTTTGATGATCTGGTTAGCTGCCACCAGCCACACGAAGGAGAATGAGCAGAAGAGACTCGGCATCTTTATTGGCTTCACATTCCTGTCTGGTAAGTATCAGGGTTGGTATTACAAATAACTGGTAGTAAATTCCTGTAAATTCAAGTACAGTATTGACAACTTGTTCCCGGCTCTGTTTTTTATGCCCCCGCCATGTAATGGCCGGGGCATATAGTGTTACCCTGTTCCGTCATTCCGTCATCATCAGTTTCTGTTCATTATCTTAAGAACGGTTGCACACATTCAACTCAAATTTGACATATGGATATATCATGAGAAAATACAGGTCAAGTTTGAATTTGTTCATGGTTCGATGATTTTTTGGCAGAGTTATGCCCCTTTTACATTGAAAATAATATGAAATTTTCAGTTTCCGTTCATTATCTCCCAAACGATACAACACATTCAACTCAAACTTGACATATGGATATGTCATGAGAAAATACAGGTCAAGTTTGAATTTGGTCATGGTTCGATGATTTTTGGCAGAGTTATGCCCCTTTTACTTTGTTTGTTTATTTTCATTTTACGCCTTTTACCAACAGTATTTCAGTCATATAGGCGGGTAGTTTCCTAACCATCGTTCCTGGAGAGTTACACCAGTACTAGACTACCTTCCTCCGCGCACAACTACCAAAGCATCTCCCGGGAATCGAACCCACGCCAGAGAGGTAACTGGATTAGATGTCATCGACTCTAACCCCTCGACCACGGAGGCGGTATCCCTTTTACTTTGAAAATAATATGAAATTTTCAATTCCCGTTCATTATCTCCCCAACTGTAAAACAGATTCAACTCAAACTTGACATATGGATATGTCATGAGAAAATACAGGTCAAGTTTGAATTTGTTCATGGTTCGATGATTTTTGGCAGAGTTATGCCCCTTTTACTTTGAAAACAATATGAAATTTTCAGTTTCCGTTCATTATCTCCCCAACAGTACAACACATTCAACTCAAACTTGACATATGGATACGTCAAAGGAATGCGCAAGTCAAGTTCAAATTTGGTCATGGTTCAATAATTTTTGGCAGAGTTATGCCCCTTTCACTTTGAAAATAATATGAAATTTTCATTTTCCGTTAATTATCTCCCCAACAGTGTTACATATTCAACTCAAATTTGACATATGGATATGTCAAAGGAATGGGCAGGTCAAGTTGGAATTAGGTCATGGTTTGATGATTTTTCGGCAGAGTTATGTCCCTTTCACTTTGAAAATAATATAAAATTTACAGTTTCTGTTCATTATCTACCCGACAGTGTTACATATTCAACTCAAATTTGACATATGGATATGTAAAAGGAATGGGCAGGTCAAGTTGGAATTAGGTCATGGTTTGATGATTTTTTGGCAGAGTTATGTCCCTTTCACTTTGAAAATAATACATATACATCTTAGGAATAAGCAGTTTAAGTTTGAATTTGGTTGTGGTTCAATGATTTTGGACAAACTTATCTTTCCTGAATGTTGGAAAAATTTTGAACTTTCAGTTTCAGCACTCATACTTTTGTGGAAATGTATGTAGCCATTATTTTGGCTACACTATGCAATATCATTATGCTATTTTTAAAAGGTTTAGACTGAATAATTTCAGTGCCTTGAACATTGTATGAAAATGGTTTGTGTTAACATTGAAAAGTTTTAAGGTCTTCGAACTTAAAATGAAAAAAATAATTTGTGCAAACAAATTTGGACTTAAATATTATAACATCTGAAATTTTGGCTGCATGCGGGGGCATCCGTGGCATGATAACACATTTCTAGTTTCTGCTATTTTATGCTAGAGTTCCTACTGTTAAGACTGCTTTTCCAATTGAGGTTATGTTCATAGAGGTGATGGTTAGAACATGCCATGCTTACCTATAAATACTGTATAGCTTTTGGAAAGTTGTAGTTGTTTGATCTTGAATTAATGCACAGAGGAGAACCATATGACTTCTTCTACCTGTAAAGCTGGAAAGACGTCATTTGACCTTTAAAGTCCCTGTACCTCAAATATCAAATTGGAATATTTTCTCAAAATTTAAACTGGTACTCAACCTCTTGTATAGATACATGTAGTAAGACTAATATCGATGCAGACAGTATTTAAAATTTTGAATTTACTAGCCCAAATTCTAATTTTGAATTTATTCTACTAAACAGTTAAACTTTTTTTTTTTAAATTTCCACTGGCCTGAACTTATATTCACTGGCCATGGGCCACAGGGCCAGTGCTAAATTGGATGACTGTAGATGATGCTCTAGGAGTATGCTAATGCTATATGTATGGTTTTTATTTTAGGGGTGTCTCTCGGACCTCTTCTGGACATGGTGATCAGGATTGATCCAAGGTAATTTACATTTTCCACATTTAATATCTTAAATGGACTTGTCCATCTTTCAATCTGGACCAAAACATTCACCATTTTGAGGGAAAACTTCAAAATATCATGTACTGTCTGAATATTGTGATTTTGCAGCTCTAGAAATAAGTTGATTTTTAACTTTGCATGTTGAAATTGATTGATTTAATCTTGAATTTGTGACTTTGCAGAGAAAAATCTTAAAATTTGAATTTGTGACTTTGCTTAGATATTGCTTTAAGCTTGACTTTGTGACAATCTTTCCTCTTGAATGTCACTAACATAATAATTAAGTATATGCAACACTGAATCACTACATTTTATACAGGTTATGTAAATTTCTTTTACTTTATTTTACAGCATAATTACCACAGCTTTGTTGGGAACATGTCTTATATTCATCAGTTTCTCATTGGCTGCCCTCTACAACACAAACAGGACCTATCTCTACCTTGGAGGTATATAACTTTATAATTTGTTGTGAGTTTTATCATGCCTGCATTATTAATCATTATTACAAAAATCTGTGATTGAACTTCTTAGTCCCAGTCTCATTGAAATAAAGTTTGTTTTTTTGGTTGGTTATTTTGTGTAGCTCATTTTGTATGCTTTTCACAAGTTCCATCTGATGTTGATTTACTTGTTGATTATACTTGAATATGCTATTCATGATGTTCCCATTAACTCTGATGTTAAACAAATATTTTACTTACACTGTTGTCAAGGCTGTTCTGCAAGTTGTATTTTAGGTATGCTGGTGTCAGGGCTGGTATGTAATGTGACCAGACTGTATTGTTATACTTTAGGTATACTGGTGTCAGGGCTGTTCTGTAATGTAACCACAAACTGTTTTTATATATTTTAGGTATGCTGTTGTCAGGGCTGTTCTGTAATAAACTTACAAATTACATTGTTTTATATTTTAGGTATGCTGTTGTCAGCCCTGTCCTGGATGTGCATGCTGTCATTGATGAACATATTCTTTCAGTCAAAAATGATCTATGATGTAAGTTCTTTATATGAGCCGGGTCACAACAAAACCAACATAGTGCATTTGCGACCGGCATGGATCCAGACCAACCTGAGCATCCACGCAGTCTGATCAGGATCCATGCTGTTTGCTTACAAACCCTATTACAAGTAGAGAAACTGATAGCGAACAACATGGATCCTGACCAGACTGTGTGGATGCGCAGGCTGGTCTGGATCCATGCTGGTCGCAAACCCACTATGTTGGTTTTGTCATGACCTGGCTCATATTATCTTTACTGAGACTTTAAACACATATTCATCCTATTATAGAACTACATGTAATTTTCAGTTTTAGAAAAACAACTGATTTAAAGCCATCTTAATAGCTTAGCTTAAAATTTAAATCTTCTAATTTAAAATAGCCACAAATGTCTAAAGATGTCCTTGTCAGACAGTTATACATTAAAGATTTCATTCAGTTTTGTCTTATGAAGGATTGAGGCTTTAATTGGTAAAATGGGTACACATCTATATATTCAGTGTTTTTATGTCAAAGTAGTTGTATTATATGACAAACATTATTTTAGCAGTTGATATTTTTGTACTTGGTATTTTGGTCATGTTCATGCAAATTGTTCAATCCATGTAGAATAGAACTGTTGGAAATGGTAGTTTATCAACAATAACAAAAATCGTTAGTTGCTATGATTACTTATAATCAATAAAATCATATTGTTTCTCGGAGATCAAGATCACGTTATTAATAATATTGTTTCTATTTACAGTTGAACCTGTATGGAGGCCTTGTTATTTTCTGCGGCTTTGTGCTGTACGACACCCAGCTCATTATTGAGAAGGCAAGACGTGGAGATGATGACTACATCTGGTAATGATCTATTAATGAATTTTATCCTGGAACTCGGCAAATGTGGGTTTTTCCCAGCTAATCTGTAGGTACAAACAAACTTTTTACTGTTAAAGCTTCACGGTGCACTAACTGTCACAATAGATTAGCCAACCTCTTGCGTTTCCTTTCGAAGCTGTAACAGTTACTGTTTAAGTTTGTTTGTACCTATGGATTAGCTGGGAAAAACCCAAATATTTATAATTCTGGAGTTAGTCTATTGTCTAAAACCACTGGTCTCTCACCGCTATGGGTCTAAATCCTGTCTTGGGCTTGGGAATTTTTCAAAGGCAGTTTTTTTAGCTAGCTTATAGAAGGTCGGTTGTTTTACTGAGATGCCAGCTTGTGCCATAAATAAGTGTTTAGAGGGGTAACTGATGTATTCCTACACTAAGACAGCTAGAAAGTCCCATATGATCTACTGAGCCAGTGAGACTTACAACTCAACAAAATCAATAATGTATCATTGAAATGTTTTATTAACGTTGAATTTGTTGACTTTGGGGTTACATGATTAACTTACTAATGACAGTGTTTCTGCTTTCAACTTTGTTAATTTAGAGTTTAAATCTACAGCTTATCTTGTTTATCATTAAATGCTTTTAATTAAGAATTTCTGGATAGCACATATGAATTACAGTTATTTCCCTTTTTGAAATGGTTTGGATAGTACACATGGAAGTTACTTCCCTTAGATAATTTGATAGTATACATTATATAGTATATATTGAAGTGACTTCCCTTTAGATAATTGTGCTCCATTTGGTCTTGAATAAGCTTTTTATGCATGTAATGAATATCTCAGTGAAATATCACACTTAATTTTAAATATCATTATATTTTCTTTCAGGCAAAGTGTGGATTTGTTTATTGACTTCATTCAAATCTTCCGTCGCCTTCTCATCATCCTCGCTAGCAAGGTAAGTTTATATTCTTATATATGAGCCATGTCATGACAAAACCAACATAATGCATTTGCGACCAGCATGGATCCAGACCAGCCTGCGCATCCGCACAATTTGGTGAGGATCCATACTGTTTGCTATCAGTTTCTCTATTTGTAAAAGGGTTTGTAAGCGAACAGCATGGATCCTGATCAGACTGCATTGATGCGCAGACTGGTCTGGATCCATGCTGGTCGCAAACGCATTGAGTTGTTTTTGTCGTGATGCAGCTCATATATATTTCAACCCTTTGACCTGCTGTATTTCTAAAATGGATCTGTCCAGAATTTAATGTGAAACAGCCCATTCAAAGTTCAAGGGATTTTAATATTAAAGGACAACATTGAGCTACCAACAGAATAGAGCCTGGTCAGACTGCAAGATTGTCTGGATTGCCTGGTTCTATATTGATGGCAAAGGCTGAACACAGTTGGTTCCAGCAGGTTAAGGGTTAACAGTCTTTTGATGAAGGTTGCCATGGTTATTATTTTGTCATTCAAGTAACGAAAAAGTTTTTTTTCTAAATAGAATAATGACATTTGAGACCTGTCAGTTAATATTGCTTAATTTCTTGCTGTTTCACTGTATGACAGACCATCAGCTTGGAACTGAGATTACAAATCTTGTATACTTGGAACTTTCTGTACCAACATTTTTTAGTCCCCTACCGGTTTACCGGAGGGGACTTTAGGTTTACCCTCCGTCCGTCTGTCCGTCCGTCAGTCCGTCCGTCTGTCCGTCAGTCCGTCCGTCCACAAAACTGGATCCCACGATAACGCAAAAAGTACTGAAAATATTTTAATGAAACTTGATATATGGATAGATGGCAGTATGGAGATTATGCACGTCTTTTTTTTTTCTTCCTATGTTGAAAATTCTGGTTGCTATGGCAACAAATAGACTGAAAATATGACAAATTTTACACATAAACTGGATCCCGCGATAACGCAAAAAGTACTGAAAATATTTTTATGAAACTTGATATATGGATAGATGGCAGTATGGAGATTATGCACGTCTTTTTCTTTTCTTCCTATGTTGAAAATTCTGGTTGCTATGGCAACAAATAGACTGAAAATATGGCAAATTTTACACATAACCTGGATCCAGTGATAACACAAAAAGTACTGAAAATATGTTTATGAAACTTGACATATGGGTAGATGGCAGTATGGAAATTATGCACATCCTTTTCTTATCTTCCTATGTTGAAAATTCTGGTTGCTATGGCAACAAATAGACTGAATTTCAAGATTTCTTATTCTAGTTTTTAAGTTTTTTCACTATAAGTTCTTTATTTCTTAAGGTATTTTCTTCAAACTTTAAATATAAGTTGCTTGTCATCAACCATATCATATGTGGCAAGGTTTACAACTCTAGTACAAAATTTAACAGAATTACCTCCCTTGAACTTAAAATTTTCATGAAAAAAACATTGTTTTTTTTTAATAACTTCTTTTTCTGAATGTATCTACTTCAAACTTCATATAAATGTTTCTTATTGTCACTCAACATTTGCGAGTGTTCAATACTCTAGCAAGACTATTTCCAGAATTATGCCCCTTTTGAACTTAGACTTTTTTTTGAGAAATTGGTAATTTTTACTCCACAACTTCTTCAATCATGATAGGATTTTAAAAATGTTATATTTTGATAACAGGGATGTTTAAAAAATAACTTTAGAGTGTCCTTCAGTCCGTCTGTCTGTACATAAAAACTGTTTCCTGTGATCACTTTTAAAGAACTTTTTCAACAAATTTACTTAAAATAGGAACCTAAGTGAATGGCCCTTCAGAATGTTGCTTGGGCTCTTGGGGCGTCCGTGGCCGAGTGGTTAAGGTCGTTGACTTTAAACCACTTGCCCCTCACCGCTGTGGGTTCGAATCCCGACAGGGACTTTGGATTCTTTCATGTGAGGAAGCTATCCAGCTAGCTTACGGAACGTCGGTGGTTCTACTCAGGTGCCCGTTCGTGCCTGAAATAATGCACGGAAGGGCACCTGAGGTCTTCCTCCACCAGTAAAGCTGGAACGTCGCGATATGACCTATAATGTGTCGATGTGACGTAAAACCCAAAAACAAACAAAAACAAAGCTTGGGCTCTTACCGGTAGGGGACTTATGGATTGCTTGCAATACTATGATAATTGCTTGTTTGTATATGATATGAACTTATGTTCAGATAATTGATTCTGTTTTGTTTGAAAGAAGTGTGTTATTTACAATTAGATTTCAAGATTTTGTTTACACTCAAACAAAAGGACTATGTCTATTGCTATAAACAATAATGGTGTGTACACAAAGTTATTATACCCCCAAAAACGAAGTTTGGGGGGGGTATATAGGAGTCACCCGGTGGTTGGTCGGTTGGTCGGTCGGTCGGTCCAGACGTCCGTTGCATTTTCCTTGTCCGGAGCATAACTTGAAGACTATTGGTTGGAATTCAATATAACTACATACAATGGTCAAGCACATTGAGAGGAAGTGCAGTGCACAATAACCATAACTCTATCTTGACTAATTACAGAGTTATTGCCCTTTGTTACTTTTCCTTGTCCGGGGCATAACTTGAAAACTACTGGTTGGAATTCAAAACAACTTCATGCAATTGTCAAACACAATAAGGGGAAGTGCAGTGCACAAGAACCATAACTCTATCTAAAGTAATTACAGAGTTATTGCCCTTTGTTACTTTTCCATTGATTTTTTTGTCCGGACCATAACTTGAAGACTAATGGTTGGAATTCAATATAACTACATACAATGGTCAAGCACATTGAGAGGAAGTGCAGTGCACAAGAACCATAACTCTATCTTGACTAATTACAGAGTTATTGCCCTTTGTTACTTTTCCTTGTCCGGGGCATAACTTGAAAACTACTGGTTGGAATTCAAAACAACTTCATACAATTGTCAAACACAATAAGGGGAAGTGCAGTGCACAAGAACCATAACTCTATCTAAAGTAATTACAGAGTTATTGCCCTTTGTTACTTTTCCATTGATTTTTTTGTCCGGACCATAACTTGAAGACTAATGGTTGGAATTCAATATAACTACATACAATGGTCAAGCACATTGAGAGGAAGTGCAGTGCACAAGAACCATAACTCTATCTTGACTAATTACAGAGTTATTGCCCTTTGTTACTTTTCCTTGTCCGGGGCATAACTTGAAAACTACTGGTTGGAATTCAAAACAACTTCATACAATTGTCAAACACAATAAGGGGAAGTGCAGTGCACAAGAACCATAACTCTATCTAAAGTAATTACAGAGTTATTGCCCTTTGTTACTTTTCCATTGATTTTTTTGTCCGGACCATAACTTGAAGACTAATGGTTGGAATTCAATATAACTACATACAATGGTCAAGCACATTGAGAGGAAGTGCAGTGCATAAGAACCATAACTCTATCTTGACTAATTACAGAGTTATTGCCCTTTGTTACTTTTCCTTGTCCAGGGCATAACTTGAAAACTACTGGTTGGAATTCAAAACAACTTCATACAATTGTCAAACACAATAAGGGGAAGTGCAGTGCACAAGAACCATAACTCTATCTAAAGTAATTACAGAGTTATTGCCCTTTGTTACTTTTCCATTGCATTTTTTGTCCGGACCATAACTTGAAGACTAATGGTTGATATTCAATATAACTTCATACAATGGTCAAGCACATTGAGAGTAAGTGCAGTGCACAATAACCATAACTCCATCTTGACTAATTACAGAGTTATTGCCCTTTGTTACTTTTCCTTGTCCAGAGCATAACTTGAAAACTACTGTTTGGAATTCAATACAACTTCATACAGTTGTCAAGGACATTAAAAGGAAGTGCAGTGCACAAGAGCCATAACTCCATTTTGACAAAATACAGAGTTACTGCCCTTTGATACTTTTCCTTGTCAGGAGCATAACTTAAAACGTACTGGTTGGAATTCAAAACAACTTCATACAATGGTCAAGCACAATAAGAGGAAGTCCAGTGCACAAGAACTATAACTATATCTTCAGTATTTATAGAGTTATTGCCCTTTGTTCCTTTTCTTTGTCTTTCTGGACTTATTACAGAGTAATTCAATTTAACTTCATCAATGGCCAACCACTTTGAAAGGAAATGCAACATATAAGAACCACAACTATCTTTAATTGCCCACAACCATAACTCTATATTTCAATTCTTTTACAAGGTATTCTGTTACTAGTAACATCCTCATTTCCGAAGCAGTCTTGTGGGGGTATTAATCACATTTAGTGATAGTTCTAGTTTATATTAATATAAACACAAACTAATGCATAAAAACAGCTAAAAACGAATGAAGATAATGTTATGTGTACACCAGAGGCTTGCATGATATAAGTTTTATTCAACTTGTTCAATAAATGACATATTTGAGCCACAACAACCAGCATGGATCCAGACCAGCCTGCGCATCCGTGCAGTCTGATCAGAATCCATGCTGTTCGCTGACAGTTTCTCCACTTGTAATAGGGTTTGTAAGCAAACAGCATGGATCCTGATCAGACTGCGCGGATGCGCATGCTGCTCTGGATCCATGCTGGTCGCAAACCCATTATGTTGGTTTTGTGGTGACACGGCTCATATATTCATTCAGTCCCTCTTGGGCTCCAATGATATAATTTTTTAACAACTTGTTGAAAAAAAGTGTGTAGAACCCATATTCAATATCCTCTATGTTTTAACTTTCAGGAGGACAGCAAGAAAAAGAGGAAAGATTAGGCAGAGAAACAGAGTTTTAATGTGGGATGCATAAAGAGAAAATTGATACCATCTGTTTTTGTACTATGAATCAAACAGTTCTTCAATTTGGACGTCCAGTTTGATTATTAATGTAGTTGAATACGTCAGTGACATTTTTGGTGCAATTATGTTATGCTGGAAAAGTGTCATAGTATTTTTTTTTGTGTGCCTAAAAATCTATTAATGATTTTATAAAGTCCCATATTGTATAATAAATATTGAATATAATTCATATTCAGAAATAGATATGAACTATAGTGTGCGAGGGGGTTTACAGGTTATTCTTTGATTTGAATAGATGTGGTTATTTTTTATTGACAAATTTTTTAGCTGTTTAAAAAAAACACCTTTATTTGGCTGCTCAGTTTTGTTGAATTTTATTTATTTGTTTTACTTTTTTTCTTTTTTATGCCACCGCAGCATCTGCGATGCGGTGGCATATAGCGATTCACCTGTGTGTGTGTTTGTTTGTGTGTGTGTGTGTGTGTGTGTGTGTTATATAGATTATATAGTGAACTTAAAAAATCTTCTTGTGAAAAACCACTAGTCCAATTTCAACCAAACTTGGCAGGATTGATCCTTGGGTGAAGGCCTTCCAAAGTTGTTCAAAGAATTTCATTCCATGCAGAATTCTGGTTGCCATGGCAACCAAAAGGAATTATAAGAATAAATTTAAAAAATCTTCTTGTAAAGACCCAAAAGGCCTAGAGCTTAGATATTTTGCATAAGGCATTGTCTGGTAGACCTCTACCAAGATTGTTCAAATTATAGCCCTGGGGTCCAAATCGGCCCCGCCCCGGGGGTCATTGATTTTCACTATATGTACATATAGTAAAAACTTAAAATACCTTCTTGTCTGAAGGTACCAGGCTTAGAGGTTTGATATTTGGTATGTGTTATTATCTATAGGTACTCTACCAAAGTTGTTCAAATTTTGCCTCTAGTGTCAAAATTAGCCCTGCCCCGGGGGGTCATAGGTTTTCCTCATATGTATATTGTAAAAACTTAAAAAATCATCTTCTCTAAATTGACAAAGGCTAGAGGTTAGATATTTTGCATGAAACATTGTGTAGTGAACCTCTACCAAGATTGAACAAATTATAGCCCTGGGGTCAAAATTGGCCCAATCCCCAGGGGTCATTGATTTTCACTATGTACATATAGTAAAAAATTAAAAAATCTTATTGTCTGAAGGTACAAGGCTTAGAGCTTTGATATTTGGTATATGATATCATCTATAGTTACTCTACCAAAGTTGTTCAAATTTTGCCTCTAGTGTCAAAACTAGCCCTGCCCCGGGGTCATAGGTTTTCTTTACATGTATATAGTAAAAACTTTAAAAAATCACCTTCTCGAATTGACAAAGGCTAGAGGTGAGACATTTTGCAGTAAACATTGTGTAGTGAAACTTTAGCAAGATTATTCAAATTAAAGCCCTTGGGTCAAAACAAAAAAAATTTGTTCCTACATTACTATTTTAGTGTTGTATTTATGCGGTGGCATAGCATTTTTTACAAATGCAATCTTGTTCTTTCAAATAATGACCATAAATTGATATCTTAATAGATTAAAGATTTTTTGAATTTTAACCAAAAAAAGGAGATGGCATTCTACAATATGGGACTTTAAATTTGAAAAAAATGCATCCCAAAATTTGCTGGTTTTTGTTTTTTTATTTTTAAAATGTTGTGTAATATTGAAAACATTATAATTATATTGTTGTACCCGGTTGAGTATATTTTTTTTGAAAGTATTTTATTTTTCAAAGGTTTTCATTTTTTCTTATTAACAATTAGTGTGAGCCTCACTTTGGAAAATCTTAACACTGCACTGCACTTATATAATATATAACCTGTAGTTTGTTTATTTCTGAGTTTAACTAGTTTTTCACAACAACAACAAAAAACTAACAAAACAACAACAACAACACAGAATGAAAAACAACAGAAAAAGAAAACTTATTTGTTATTGTGTACATATTTATATTCAGTTACTTTTAATCGGTTATTGTAAAAGCATGTTGCTTTAATTATAATTATACTTTCATATCCTAAAAAAAGTCTTTAAAAAAGTGATATTAATAGAATGTTAATAGACGGGCTAGTCATTTTGTGTGTTATATACTTGTTCATGTATTCCAAATTAAGTGGCTAGCTTAGGGTATTGGTTTAAAAAAACTGACAATAATATTAATATGAATGGCAGAGGGGTGTGTGTATCCACTGCTTTTTCAGAAAATAAAATAATATTGATATTTAGTTTGTCCAACTTTATTCATTGGTGTTTCAAACGGGAAAAAAAAATGTTTGGGCATATTTTATTACCACACCTTTGAAGATATAATATTGCTACAAATATTTGGCTGAAATTTTGGATATCTAATACCTGGCTCATATACATATATACAGTGTTAATTTTCCAAACTAACTATAATAATTACTAAACCACGGTGGCTGACTCATTTGTCTTCATTTGTTACTTGAATAATGATATAAGATATTTGCATTGCTTCTTGCATGCCAGATATATTCTTCATAAATAAAACTTGTCATTCAATGTGCCTGAATTCAATTAATATATATACAGCAATCAAAGCTAGGCTTAGTCAATATAAAATTTTGTCTTCACAAAAAATTTTTTTTTTTATTTTTATTTTTTGCATAACGGACTGTGATAATTTCTACAGATTAGGGAGACATGCTGTTTAAAATTTAATTATAAAAAACCAACAGCAAAAACAACATTTTTTTTCAGAAACAACAAAAATGTGATTTTATATTGTCTTTTTTGTTGCACTTATGTTGTACTCTTTCATGAAGCCATTGTTTTCTTTGATTTTGTCTAATAAAGATTCTTTATCCATAATATCTTCATTTTATTGATGACCAGATACTAAATAAAAAGTCATCACGTCGATAAACAAAGATCAAAAAGCAACACACAATAACATCAGAACAAGCTTCATCATTGTCTTCAGTTGAATTTTTTTTAGGCAGAAAAAATTGAAGAAATTTCTACTGTCGTGGTGTTGCTGCCATTGCTTTTGTCGTTCCTGCCTGCAGAAATTAACATTAGCCATATTTTTCCTTGTATGAATAAATTGTCTTCATAAATGGACAAAGCAACTCCTTGGATAAAGAAATCGGAATAAACTTGACCATGACTTCAAAATAACCTTGACCTTCAAGGTCAAATTTTTAAAAAATATGCTTGAATTTAGCTTAGCAGAGCACATAATGGTTAAGAGCTATTGTAATATCATCTGTTGACGGTTGTGACATTTACATTTTAAACTCAACTATTCAAAGAGTAGTAAGACTCCTATTCACATGGGTGTTAGCAAGATTTATCTTTTGCATGCAACGTATTTCATCAACCAATAAAGCTGTTTACTTGTAACTTCCCATACTTACTTAATAGCAAAATAGGTCACTATCCGAACCCCTTAACTCTGGCATGGATTCTAACAAAATTATGGTCCTTTTTGAACCGTTAAAATGATTGCTTTTTGCTTCCATCCAATTTCAATCTTTAAAATTACTGAAGTTATTCACTTGCAACTAAATGGATCACTTTGGAATCATAATTGGAGGTCACAAATCAAGGCCCGTAACTCTATAATGGATTTTAACTGAATCATAGCCCTTTTTGAACTTTGAAGTTTCTTAGGTAAATTTTGCATGCAACATCAATCTTTAAACCAGTGAAGTTATTCACTTTATATCTAATACAAATCTTAAAGATCATAACCAGAGGTCACTATCCAAGGCCCATAAATCTGACATATTTTGGCTCATTTTAAGCTTCCAAAACTCTAGAAGCAACATCAATCTTCATCATCAATATCCAATCTTAAAGGTATTTACATGAAACTTAATACATGTCGTTGGGATCATAATTGTAGGTATCCAAGACCCATAACTTGACCTGGATTTTGATTGAATTATGACCATTAACGAATTTATATAATTCTTGGTTGGATTGTTAATCTCTAATTGGAAGTAGACATGATGCGATGGTTTTCTTTATGTATGGTGGCTGATGTCTGCCCTTTCGTGTCTTCGCACCTCAAAAGTCAAAGTTGAAGACACGATAATACGGTCACTCGCCGTGTTCTCGCCTTCTATTTATGAGGGCGCTGACAGGGAGACAGGTACAATTAAGGCGAAATAACGATATTTTAAAAGGCGAAGACACGAGATTTTCTGCAGATTTATCGTGTCGGCGGGTAGAAATCATCTTATCGGCGCCCTATATTTGTCGTGTCTAGGGAGCATATTATCATGTCTTAGCCTTTTACTTTTAAGGGACGAAGACACGAAATGGCAGAAATCAGCCACCATACATATGCGCGGAGATTTCTGAACATCAAAGTTCTGCTTACGCTAGCTTATATGCACGAGCAGGAGTTCTTTTATTGCACGACTTTGTCGTTTTGAACAGGTTGACATGATATATAATCGGCCGTTTGTCTGTTATTGCGCTGTTCTCATTTTAGCCGGGTATTTGTAATAAATAACAAAACAGTAAAACAAATCTTGTAACATTTATCTGTATGTAAGATATTTGCAAACAGAATCGTTGAAAATTGTATCTTGAAAGTAAAAGGAATGAAATAATTATGTATTTTAACAGTAATATAATGTGTGTAACAATAAGGTAGTCGGTGCTTTTCATTGTCCTTCATTTATAACAATTATTTATAATTGTAAAAAATTAAGAATTACATGAATATAGATATTGGCGAAACTTTATATTCCATTTAAAATAAATAATAAAAAATAGGTTTGCCTTATTGATGCATAACGAGTTGTGACCGCGAATGATAGGCCTACTCTTCTAGATAATTAAAACAGAAATATATCAAATATTTGTAAATAAACAACCGGATATAAATATAATAAATATCTCATAATAAAAATTAATATAACAGAGCATCGTTGAAACAAAAGATGTAAATATTTAATGATGACGCTTTATGTACATTTATCTAAATAGTAAATATGTACATACATTAAAGGATAGATAGATCACGAGGTCGTCTACGCTGTCTTGGCAGACACCGGAAATAGTGAAACGGAAGTGAAATTTCTCGACTCATGCGCAAGAGATTAGAGCCATTCTTGTAAAAATTTATTGTCTAAATATTAGAAGTTTTTGGCCTTTGTATTTACATACAAGAGAAAAAAACGATAAATAGACAATACCATGCTATAAAGGGGGAGGGGAAGTCTCTAATAGAGATAAAATTGATAAAAAAATCTATTCGAGATCTTTTTTCATATATAAAAAAACATTCGATTCAATGTTTATCAGTTTGATATTTTCAAACTTGTAAGAGGTAAAAGTATTCCATTCACTTCATTTTATTTCAATATGCATTGATGAGATGTCTGGTAAAGTTGAGGGTGACTGATAATGCTAAATTTATTAGGCATGCACTTTATCAACAGAAATCAACGGAATGACATGATAAAAAACTTAAATTTGATGGTTTCAACATGATAATGATTCAAATACTGACCTGATAACAAAGAATGAAATGAGACAAACCGGATATTAAATCCCATTATGATATATACATGTATACACGAAGTATAAACAAATTTAAAGAAAGGAAAACAACTAACTCCAACAATAACAAAATTAATGTTTTTTTTTCATACCCGTAAATGAATAAATGATATAATTATAAAATATATGCACAAATGAATGCTACAATATCAAAGAAATGTCAGAACTAGGCTCTGAAGCCAGTAAAAGTCAATGTTTTATTGAAATTACAGTGCACACACGTCCGGTCGATATTGAAAATAAAGACCTTGTCATGAACCAGAAGTGACGTCTTTTCTCTCGCAGAATTGATTAACGCTTCACTAAATAATTACAAATGTATCTTCATGCTTATTTCATTTCACCTGCAGAGTGTTGATTATAACGCAACCTTCCGGAAGTTCAGTGATAAGAGTCACATTGTAGCTGTCATCATTTACTTTTAAAAATCTACACACAAATTTAATATTAACTTGACCTTACTGATAGCATGGTCAAAAATATAACGGCAAGAATAAGTCTCAAAAGAATGAAGACCAGTAAACAAAACCTATCAACTGCACAGGATACAAGTTCCCATGATAACTTCCGGTCTATTTCACTACTACAGAGGGCGCCACCGCTGTCCCACGCCTTTGATCGACCACGTGATCTGTCAAATTCATTCTTACTAGTTGAAGCAAAACTGCAATCGGGGCTTATTGTCTTTAAACTAAGTCTTCTCTTAAGAGGATGTTTAAAGTCTGGTGGCGCTTCGATTACATTCGGAGTTTCAATTGAGGGGGAGTCACTCTCATTGGTCGGACTCCTCGGACTACCGGAAGTTGTTTCTCTCTGACGATAGCATGTCAGTGCTAACAACACTATTGCAAGACGTTCATAAATGTAAGTTACACGCCTATTTCTGTCTTTGTAGTGGTAAAGTTTTATTACAACAATTGTCATGAAAGTCTCACATAAACTGAATAACACTAACACCATTGCATATGTTCCTGAAAAAGAAAAGGATGTCTTATTTTTTGTGGAAAGTTTATAATTAGTATATATAAATCATCCGACCATGATAATCATGGTAACATAAAATATCTATTTAATGTTTATGGTTGCATTTTTTTTCCACTTATGCACAACAACAACAACAACGACAACAGCAAAAAGGGATTATAAGCAGATGTCACTATCAAAAGCCCGTAAAAAGCAAAACTAAGCTACAAATACTATCAACTTGCGTATGTTTAACTTACATTAACTGACTAACATTAAAACTAAAATTACGTTTTTTTTTAAAAAAAAAGTGATAAACATATACATGGATACACTATAAACCTTTGAGTCTCCATTTATTATTCAATAGAGGCCGTTGTGTAAAGGTTGCAATAAAAGGTCAAAAATACCAAAAAATACATTTACATATATATGAAGTCTGTAAGAGGGAAAATACATACCTAGAATTGGAATATTCCTGGCTGATATAGGTAATATCTCTAGCAACATGCCTAGTAGGATCACTTCAACTATAAGTATACCTATTGGGTACCCCATCTTGCTGGTAGATTCTACTGGTACCATAAACACAAACACTCCCAGGAAGGAAATGAGAACTAGCGGCATTACCATGGTAACGAGTATCGTCGTGGATCGTCGAGTCATTTTGAATTTAAACAGTAGATTGCTGAAAAAAGTTAATACTAGTAAATGATTACTTCATAAGGCATGCACGATACATACATTATATATTTCAATTGATGGCTGCATCCAAATATTTTAAGATTCTAAACTCTTTTTAATTTAAATTCTGCAATTTTCAAAACTTTAAAAATGCATTTATATCTAATATATTCCTAAAATTGTTTACCTAGTATTTTGCTTTATCCTAAATTAAGATATTTTTTTATATTTTGAATAGGAATACTTGGATAAATCTAAATAAGTCTTAAGAAACTTTCTACTAATGTGTTATATATAAACTAAACAAGGTCCTATATCATAGACCTTTCTCTTTTTGAAGTAATTTGCATTAATTAGAGCAGTTTTTTTTATACTGTTTGCATTATGAAATCAAGAGCTAATATTTGCAATAAACTTATTTGTATTTAGTTGCTATATATATTATTTTGTTGATTAGGACAGTTTGGTATTACCTATGTTCTACTCCACCCACTGTCACATTTTGTTTCGTCACTTCTGATGACGTCATCTTCCATTCATCATTTTCTGCATATTGCTGAGTGTCTATACCACCGGAAACCAGCTCAACAGCACTTGCTGGAAACGACCAGCTTTTTACACCTAAGAAATTAAAAAGTATGTCATTTACAAAAAATATTTTGTACTCCCCTTTATCAATGATACAGCAAATAAAACAATGTAGTTATTCTCTATTCCGTACAATCTATAATTTAAAGAAGAAGAATATTTTGAATTTAGTTTGACAATCTTAACTTTTATCAAAAGGAACGATGAATATAAGATCACAGTTCTTGCATAGACACAATTAAAGAGTAATAATGACCAACATTTTGTTAATGTTGAGAAATTTTCATGGACGTGTTGAATTAATCAGGCATGTGACTGTAGTTCTGTTCTGTTGTCAATACGATTGTGAACATCCATATGGCCTATACATCTATCTCTGGACTTATATTTGTCATGTTACATTTATGGAGAATATCTAAATACAAATGTATTTAAAAAACAACAACATTTTTCCCATTTTTTAAATACTCATTGCTTTCTTTGACATATATAGATGATTATAGATGAACAACACTAGCACTTTGGATTAAAAATTTCAGTTGATGCATCGGATGTGTCTAATACAGATTCAGTAATCAAAGCTGTATGAGCGCATATAAATGTTACTTAACATATCTGTGAATACAATGATGAATGCAGTTTACAAGCCCGGGAAATATATCCTATGTTTTAAAGTAACATTATGCTCATCTAAAGGGTTTTTATAGTATGTGGACGGTGAAAGTCGAAATAAGCATACATTTTGCCATAATTGTTTTCGATTTTATAATTTACATTGCATGGACGACAAGTTTCATTAGACTTTACTTGTGACGTTCATCGGGCTATCTTTTATATTTTAAGTATTCTTACATTTTATCCTATTTCGAATATCAACTATTTGTCAATTACCATTATTACACCCAATCCTTTAAAATATATAATCTATTTAGCTTGACAATGATAAAACGAGCATAGTGTCACTTTAAATACTAGGCATTAACGAATCCCATACTGGACAGGATAATGACGTCACATTATTTCATTTTACATTATAAATAGTTTTCGGTAACCTATGCGATTTGACAAATACGAGTAAAACATTGGATGACTTTTGGGTCTATGCGAGCTTTATTAAGCGTGATACACTTTTTGTGTAAATCTTTTGCATAGTCTCTAACATAATAATAAAATAACTTACTGAGGAAGCATGTTTGTGTATCATATGGATATGATGTAACGTCCATTGAACAGTGGACTGTGAACTCTTCGGATGGCGACCACGTGACCCCTCCAGTATTGTCTATTTCAAACAGCAAAGCTTCATTAGCCAGAATGATGGCGTCGTCAACACTATAATGGTAAAAAAGACATACATGTAATAGAAAATGAATTTGACAATGAAGAAAGAAAGTTAGATCGAAAAAAATCTCTTAAGCATTATTTTGTATTATATTAAGTCGAATAAAAACGGATACAGATTAGATAAATGACATCAATTTGGGCTTGATTGTACCTTATTTCTGTCATATGATATACAACTGATTTGCACCAATCCCTCGAAATATCCATCGATTGGTAACTCTTTCATCTTTGCACGTTTTTGACCAGTACTTTATTGAAAGTTACTCGTCATTTTTAATTATATTACACTTTCTAAATCATTTTTGTTGACCTTATTTTCACATTCAGGTAACACTTGCAAGAAAACTACAGTCTTGTGTTTGTAAAAGACAAACGAAAATATATGGATACTTCGTATGTAATAAGCTATATTTTTTGTTAATTCCATAACATCCCGAACATTCAACATTTTGGTGCCGTGACTAGGATACGACATGATGAATGAATTGATTCAGGAAGATTACCTATTATCTACAATAATTTTCGGATTCCAGCAGTACGTATAGTCGAGATACATTTCAGAAATACCAGAATAGCTTCCGGGTGTCCATGAGAACCGTGTGTCAGTCCAGGACTGAAAAGAGATAATTAAACGTCATTTTTTTAGAAAGAATAGAGCGTACAGATGGAAAAGGTTATGGTTTATTTTTCTTTGTATTCTTTTTCAACTATATATCATTGAAAAATAACAAGTAAAGAAATAAAAGGTCACACACTGATGTTAAACAATTTTAAACCTTGCCACAAATCTTTTCGTAGTAGTAATATGCACCTACCATACTTTATAAATAAAATAAATATTCGAGACATTTACGGCATAATAGACCATTTAATTCAACTTATCGCCTACCGCATCTAACCATCATTAGCTGTCAGCTACCGCGTAGGACCTTCCTATAGGCCTGTAGGGTTATCTCCTTACGAAGATAAAAAAGAAACACATATATTTTAAATAGATGCCGTCTGAGCGTTGCTTTTCTTAAATATTGAAAAAAGTGTTATACTGCTTATAATATATTTTTTTGTATAATCTATATTAAGAACATTATGAAGACCTTACCACGTCAAACCAACCCGTAGCTGAGAATGTTTGAGTTTTCACATCCTGAAAATTGAGAGAATTGAGAGAGTTATACCACATTTAAAAATCTCTACCATATTTCATTTATACATCTCCTTTGTTTGAATTAATACATCTACTTTGTTTGAATTAATATTGTTCATTAATACCTAAATAAAGTAAAACAAAATAACCCATTTATTTTGATACGGCATTAGATATGAAAATAAGTAAAAAGTTTAATTTGGAACACATTATATAATAAAAAGAAATGCTATATTGAATAGTTTTTTTTATCAAACCAGAAGAATTCAAACGCACAATATTAAGGTATATATTTTTATTTCTTTCCATACCAAATCTGCCAAATTATCAGACAATATGAATTTTAATAGGTTGTCAAACGACGGAAGCAGAAAAAAATGTAACAGGTGAAAACTAACGCTGTTACGTTGTATCATCTGTTCTTCTGATTTCAAAAGGAGTAAGTAACATAACGCATTGTTAATAAAACATTACGAACTGGCTCGACAAAGAATCAAACTTAAACTAGGCCTGTGAACAAAATGGAGACGTTTATTTTGAAATTTAGAAGCATGTGTCGAAGCTTACAGATTAGCTTATTTATTAGATTAATACCAAAGATATAATGTTTCTTTAACAAAATTATGTAGGTCTCGCATAATGTTAGCCAATTTGTTTATAACAATATCTGTAGGCCATTACTTTAAATAATGCTTACATGAATTACTGACGGGAATCTGAAGGTGAATTTGATTTTAATGTAACTTATTATTTTGGTTCTCTTTATTTTCGTAACGTACATATTCATTTAGTTCATGAACGTTCTGGGGTTTTCGTATTTCACTATTTCTTTTTTATTTGTATAATGCAATCTTTTTGGTGATTTTATGTCGTATTTGCATTTTAATACTGCAATATTTTAGAAATATCTTTTTGTTTCGTATAATTTTTGAACTTGGAATATTATCTTTTAGTTTTTTTCATTTCGTATTTACACACACACACACACACACATATATATATATATATATATATATATATATATATATATATATATATATATATATATATATATATATATATATATATATATATATATATATATATATATATATATATATATATATATATATATATAATTATACTGTACTCTAAAGTACAATACTTGTGATAATTTTGATTTTTGTGTGTGTATAATTTTGTACAGCGATTGTCTTAATATTCAGTCGTATTAGTCTAGTTACATCAACCAGATATGCATTTTAATCAATTAAAAAAATTGTTTGACATAAGTCTATACATTAATTTTGTAAAATGTTCTTTGAAAAGACATAATTGTGAAAATATCATGCTGCTAATTTTGACCTCATTTTTATCAGGCAAATCTAATACAAGTAAAATGGACTTGGATGGGCAAGATTTTCTATATATCATGTAACTCATAAAAAAAGTCGTAAACACAAAGTAATACTTTTAAATTGCAGTTTTATTTTATAGAAAGAGAGGAGGCATGTTGTACAAAAACAATTATTGAATACAAATTCCTCTGTCAGTGATCATTTGCAAAACTATTTATGACGTTACTTCATTATGCAGTACCTAATCGCTATTTAATTTATTCTTATTTAGGAACGAAATAAAGTAATAAATATTACAGCTTGATTCGGGACTTAGAAAATGCCAACAAAAATAAGAATAACGTAAAAGTCTGATGTGTTAAATCGTAAATATAATCTATTGTAAAAAAGTCTGTTGTAATGTTCGTGATTTATTTTTGATATCAGGGTACCGGTATTGACCTGGTATGTGAAATAATTATCATTAAAGTGTTATCTTCAGTTTCCATAGCAGTTGCATTATTTAATATAACATAAGGACATACAAAGCTACAGTTACAGAAAACAATAGTGCAGTAAAATTATCTAACCAAAATTTGTGATCCATTCTATTTAAACAAGCATGCTAAAACAGATTGTACGCCTGTTTTGATTTTAATTCTTAAACCTTAGGGATACATGGATTTTAATTTAAACCTGCCACTTTTATTTAGAAACAGAAGCGTGTTTGTCAAGGCAAAACATATCTATTCTACACACCTTCCGGATTAAAATACGATTACTGAGTATTAACGTTCAAATGAGATTAGGATTATCCGAAGATATATTACTTAATCACGATCGTTTGATCCTTTTTGAAGAGTTTATGTGTATTTAGCCATGAATGATTGAATTAAATCGAACAAAAGTGAGGAGAAAAATTTGAATGCCAACCAATAGCCATTTGTCGTATGTCCAAATGTTGTATTCAGAATGCAAGTCATTGCTTTAAAGCGGTTTTCTGTTGGAAAACAATTCTGTATTGTTTTAAAGTAAGTATTTGAGTAATTTTGTCTTGGAAAAGTACACAATATATACTGTAAGCCTTATTCAAAAGAGCATCCCGAGAGCTAGTGACGCTGTTCCTAAAAATAGAAGATCGGGAGACGAATTTTCGGCTTTACCTATTTACTTTAAGAGAGCGGACACGTAGATGGGGTTTTCTTCATTGTTAAAATATGTTATCGGCAACAAATTTCATTTTCCATTTTCTATAAATTCTTTTGATTTGACAATTATATGAAACGATTAATATAGAAATAAGATATTTAAACTAGGCCGCTTTAAAACTTATTGAAAATATTTCCACGAAAGTGTTTGATTTTCAATATCATTCATGTTAATGGCTACATGGCTGGTGTGTTGAAGGCATCCTTTGTGTGTCACATTGTCTACTATTTAACCGTATTGTCCGTCAAAATGGTTTAGTTATAATGCAAAAAAATGGAAGTCCACAACAAGAGACGAAGCGACGTAATAAAACTATTATTAACATGAGGTCAATATCTTTTAAATGTATTCCATCAATTTATTTTTAAGTTAGACATTTAAGTAATGTTTGAAATAATTGAAATAATGTGATAAACAGATATTTTTATATTTTGAAAATATAAATGTAATATTTTGAAGTTTTGGTAAAGTACGTGTAATATTTTGATATTTTGGTTATATAAGTGAACTATTTTGATATTCTTTGGTAAAGTAAGTGTACTATATTTTAATATTTTGATTATATAATGTAAGTGTAGTATCTTAAATTTTTAATTAATGCGAGTAAAATATTTTGATTTTATGTTATGTTTTGATAATGTACGTGTTATATCTGATGTTTGTGTAATATTTTGATATTTTGATAATGATAATGTACGAATAATATTTTGATAATTTGATAATATAAGTGCAATATCTTAATATCCTGATTATATTAATTAGTGCTATTATTTAATAATAGTGTGTGCTTTTTTAAAAATATTTTGATAATGTAAGTGTAATTTTTGATTATGTTAGGGTAATAATTTGATTATGTAATGGTAATGTTTATATTTTTTGATAATGTAAGTGTAATATTTTGATATATCGAGACCATTGGAAAGAAAGTTTAAAAGTTAAATTTGCAGAATCGGTTTGACTTAGTTTGTTCATGAGTGAAGGTACAACATGCACCCTTTCTACGGCTTAAGTAGTATTCAATATTATACTAGTTGTTGAAACGTTCGAATCACCGATTATGATGGACCAGGTAAAAAAAAACAGCACATCAATGAACACTACATTGTAACAGTGCAGCAACTTGATCATGAACCTAAACATGGCAACAGTCTGTTTTTCGTGAAGTACCACTTGTCGAACATAAAGTAAATACTAAATATTCTTTTCATTTAGTTTAGTTTATACTTATTTATATCAGTTTGATTATGTTACGAACTATGAAATTATTGAAACAGTCTCGAATTTGTTCCTGGAACAAACCAGTACTAAGCAAAGACTGTACAGTTTCTTGCTCATGGAAACAATTCAAATCAAGTTGTGTAATAAAGATTTTTTAAAAACATATCCGTCTTGTAAACAAGTAGAACATTACTATAATAATACTATATAGAATGCAATAGTTTTTGAAGGAAATAATAAGAGCTAATTAAATGGTAAGGTGAAAGCGCTTGTCGGACTGACGGACACAATGATTGCAAGATGAATAAGCTAAATGTCTCACCTCATTGCATTTACGAAAAGAAAAACGCAAATGGTCGGACCGAATTGCAATGTATTCTCTAAAATAAGTAACACAAATATTCATGCCTTTCCGATTGTCTTCATATTTGTAATAACGAAAATTTTACAACGCCATCATTTTCCTGCTCCATATCATATCAGAGATTGTCTTCAATGCAGTCCCTTAATTGACACTATACACTCTTAGCTTTTTCTTGCCACATGTTTTAAGGGATACCATATGTAAAAAAATGAATCCTAACAATTTTTTTTTCCACAATGTGTTTTACTCACCAGATGATTAACACTGAGGATTCCGAAGCTAACTGTGACTTGTGTGGTTCCCGCCGGGCGCACTAGATTGTTGTAACCGAATGTCAAAGCTGTGTACAGGGAACCAGCACTTGATGTTGAATACGAATCTAACCATGGAACTATAAATAAATTTGTGTTAAAAATACATAATTATGTACATTACAGGAAAACAATACATATGTTTTAGGTCATATGGTGCATTTCTAGCTTTACTAGTGGAGGAAGACTTCGGATGCCATCTGAGCGTTATTTTCGGCACAACCAGGCACCGACGTTCCGTTAGCTAGCTGGATAGCTTTATTACTTATGAAAGAATCCGATCACGCTTGTGCGGCTCGAATCGCCAGCGGTAAGAGGCAAGTGGTTTGAAGGCAACAATTTGACGTTCTCGTCCACAGACGACCTTTACATTGTTCAAAATGTAAAAAAAAACAAAAAAAAAAAAAAACAATCATGTACTTTGAAAATAGCTTAATATACAAAACTTCCATATCTTTGATGACATTTTGAAATGTTCACATTGCTCAAAATATGAGCAAATGTGTCAACCACATAGTGGTATTTAATATACAGTACCAACATGTGATTAATACATTTGCATATATTTCAAAATATAAAATCAAAATATCAGCAAAATAATGTATCAATCACATAATAACATTGTATAATAAGCAATTCAAAGTACATTATTGTGTTCTATTTCAATCTCTGGAATTATGCTCTCGTACAAAATGCGGAGTAACACAACAGTGTATGGTTTAGAATATAAAATGATTTGTTATAACTTTCTGAGATCTCTTGAAAGTACTTGCAAACACGGGATTAGTAACAATTACCGGCGAAGATGTGGGTACTGCAAGGGATAGATTGTAAAGAAAAAACTTACCAACAATTATTAATATCACACTACATAAGGTTACTATCCCTTTTATATCCATTGCGAAAAGTATTTACAATTTATCACATATCTTAAGTTTAAAATCATTTCGAGGCTTTTTTCCTTTTAGGCTTTGTTGTTTTCTTCCACGCCGCTTTCAATCTATATACATGGACACTTTTTTTCGATGACATCTATTCTGAATTTAAAGTCTTACATAGTTGCTGGTTTATTATTTTAATTATGTACAACATCCCATATATACATGTTTCTACATTTTTGATGACAATGATTAAAATATATTATTTGTATAAAAGTTTCACAGGATAACAGTAAAACAATAATATTCTTCAAATCTACCACACAGTCGATTGTTTGTTGAAATTTAAACTGACCAGGGATTAAAAGATAATCCTTTTATAATATTTCATTGAAAATAAAACAAAATCCGGATTAAATAAAAAAAATTGGCACGGCATTTAAAAAACACATGTACAAAGTTTTAAAAAACGGTATAGTTTAACTTAATACTATTTAGCTGCATGGCTTACTTCCTAAAATTGCACAAATAAAGTTTCACTCCCATATCGTGAATTATCGTAAAGTTTCCGTCGATTTCTGTCTTCAAAATTGCTTTCGCATTTCCGATTCAAATATAAATATACTTATCTGCCAGTAAAATTGCTATCAAATATTTTCCAACTATTACAAGTGATCGTTCAAAATGCTCGTTATGCGATTCAAACGTCCGTATAAACTTAATCTAACAAACATACAATTTGTTATTTTCTATTATATTAAAAAATCTACCTTTGTCATACGTTCTAAACAAAATCCGGATTTATTTTCATCATTATTTAACCATAAAGAATTTAAGGTGGTGTAAGGAGTCTCTTCATCAATTTACACCATAGCACAGAAAAAGTGGAGTACATTTAAATCCTTTACTTATTGTATTTAAATCGCTGATAGTATAGGAAATTTGATCCAATATGATGCAATATGAAAATATATGTCCATAAGATTTTTTAAGATATATTAGATAGGTCATTTTGTGCTCTGACTTGTATTGTATGTGAATGTACTACTCGTTCATATACTTTCTCTGAGACACTCTTTCATATAAGTAATAGAAAGAGCAACGAAACACGAGGTTATCAGATTTGTACGAGAAGGCGTAGCCCCCGAGTATTTATCAGATTGCCTAGTGTTTTTTAATTTTCTTTTTCTTTTGTATCATAGTCAAACATAAAATCACGTTCCCTATTGTCACAAGATGAAACCCCAGAAAAAAGTAACAGATAAACGAACATCTGAATATGATATTTTTTTATCGCGTTTCCTTTTTCTGCCGTCACAATAAGTTTACCCCTTCACAAATGAGCCCAATCAATGGGCATGCTCTGGGTTGTGGGTAACTAATACATGCACTCCAGTTAACGCACTGTGCATGGTAGTAAAATAGTGATAATAATTGTAAGTAAGTATATTGTTTATTATAGTGACATTGTGCATATATCGAATACATATACATGATATACATAATAAAAGTTCATACGAAAATAATAATTACCAATAACCACAACAACACAACAACAACAACAACAACAACAACAACACAAAAAACAACACAAACAATAAAAGCAACAATTATAATAAATAGGTGCCCAAATATTTACAAATAAATATCATCTAAGATAAGTAATCATATCAATTCATGAAATGACTGTTCATATAAACAGCGGGGTTGTATGCATTATATGAAAATAAAATCTTTTTATAACACTCCAGGGTTTTCTTCCATTAATATATATTTTAAAAGCGATATATTTAGCGATAACATTTTGTTTGTATTCTGGTTTAGGACATGGTCATGGTAATAGAAGAAACGACCTTTTAACAATTTCTTGTTACTCCTTCATCTAAGACCATATTTACAAAGATGTTTTGCCGTTTGGCCTAAAATATTTTGCTTGGATATAAGATATACAAGGGTCAGACCGTGCGTTCACTTATTTTTTATCTTAACGTAAGAGCTTTATTGGGAACCGAATGATGCAATAAATGCCATTTTGTATATTGTTTATACTTGTTTTCTTTTTTGTCCTATACGTCCTTTCCGAACGGTGCCCTACTGTGTATACCTGTACCTATGTGACTGGAAAGCGTGTGAGTTGAACTGTGGTAGGTAACCGCTATTTTTCTTTGTTCATATTACTTTCATATTACATGAATTTATCTATCATATTTGATAGTGACAAATAGTTAAATTAGGTTTTCAAACACACATTACAATCATTGATAACTGGCTGTTTATAAATGGAATAAATGCAACTTTTTTAGTAACATGATTGTGTCGCACAAATATCAGTGTGTCAAAATCTTTAACTACGCTATAAGGAAGTTTTTATAGAGAAGAGTATATATGATTATATCACTGACATGCAGTTTTTGTTTTCTTTGTGCATGTTTCAAAAAATTTAATATTCCATCCTCAGTGTGTCAAACCTGTTTTGTACGTTAAGGACGTGTTGAAAGAAAAGTTATAAGTATTTCTTTTTTGTTTTAAGTGAAACAATTTTCCGTGATCTATTGTTACATGAAGGCTTAGTGCATGCTTTACAACAATATCATAAACAAAGATAATCCTCTTATTAGTGTAACTCTTTGTCCATAAAGTATAATCATGGTAACAAAATATTAAAAAGACTTTAAAATAAGGCAATATCACAAAATTATTGTTTTTGACATTTAAAAAAAAAAGATGAGTTCGATAGCAAATGCAATTAACACGTTTAGGTGAACTGTGACTGGCTACAGTGATTATCAAATAATTTCAATTAACTTTTATCAAATTTCACAAGCCCATTAGCATCTACAAATGTATTTAATTTAAAAATGAATAATAATCGATTTTAATGTGACATTTTCATTTTGACACTTTGATATTTGCAAGGAATGAAATTAAATATTGCTATATGCATATTATAATGTTGATTAATATTGAGGGTCGGGAATGGGGCACAGTGGGTAGAGCTGTGTAATGTACGTTGTTGTCCATTTCTGGTAGTCATTATCAACTTTTATACGCAATTAGTTATCTTATTTTTTCAGCTGTTCGAATAATTAATAACAACCTCGTCAGGTGTTTCTTATATGACGATTATACTTAATATATATTACTTAATATGTATCTGAAATAATTCATTTTTCAATATAAACGTTTGTAGTTATAAATATTATCATCAAAAGTATAACACGTAGGTAAAAGCTTATACTTTCCTCTTTTCGTGAATAATTTATACGGTACACTTAATTCATGGGTTCTTATCATCACGGCATCATGATTTTCTTTACTTTTATTATTATACGTAGTATATTCATTAAGTTAATTGTGTTTGCAATGTAAAATACACAACGAAATTAAACAATTTTGATCAATATTTGGTTCTAGCATGAACCATTACTTTAACATAAGGCAAAGACATGTACTCGTCACAGTAAAGCCTACAGTGTATTTATGACTTAAACAAACAAAACTTTTTATACTGCCTGAAATGAAAACATAAAGATAAATAGACGATGGGGAAAATATGCACAATAGTTGAATTGGAATTTTGGAACAAGGTAAGGCGTTGCTATATACCTTTAAAAGCGCACACGAAGCACTTGCGTAATTTTGTAATTGAGAAGTATAAATAGTTTGAAATACACTTTGATTTAACATATTTGTTTTGTTATGTACTTTAAAGTGTATAAGCTATATATCTGATGGAAAACATTTTGTTTGAATTTTAAAAAAGTTTACTTCCAAAATGATTGTATGAAATAAATATGGTAATTTATTGCCTTAAAAGCGAATGGCAAATGCACAAAGTCCTTGCTAAATGGATAAAACCCTACTTAAAATAGCAAAATAATATTTTGTTCCGGAACATTTTATTTTGTTATGTACATTATTCATGTGTATTAAATATGTGTATTAAATAACACAGACATTCAATGTTACAACTTTTACAGGAATCAACCATATTATAATGGAACCAATATAATTTTACTGTTGATAAATTTTATTAAAATATTTTATATGATATAGATTTATACCCTTTAATGAGATCAAAAAATGACTATTTATTAGAATATAATGTTTACTCACACAATTGTCAAAGGTCTTTGAAATATTTTGGTACCACATTAAGTAAGCAGAGGAAATGGGTATTTGCAATAATTGTCCAGTTGCTTGCATCTACGTTAGAATATGTTTCAT